ATATTTTGGCCAAATTTCATAAAAAATGTAAGGCTAACCCCTTGCAATTTTTGTCAATTTTGGTCAAAAAATGAAAGTGCTCCAAACTTCCTGGAAAGACTACTAAGGTCCCCTCGAACACATTCCAACTTGAGTTAGGGACAGATATATCAATAAAAAGAATTTCATATTTTGGCCAAATTTCATAAAAATGTAAGGCTAACCCCTTGCAATTTTTGTCAATTTTGGTCAAAAAATGAAAGTGCTCCAAACTTCCTGGAAAGACTCCTAAAGTCCCCTCGAACACATTCCAACTTGATTTAGGGAGAAATATATCAATAAAAAGAATTTCATATTTTGGCCAAATTTCATAAAAATGTAAGGCTAACCCCTTGCAATTTTTGTCAATTTTGGTCAAAAAATGAAAGTGCTCCAAACTTCCTGGAAAGACTCCTAAAGTCCCCTCGAACACATTCCAACTTGATTTAGGGAAAAATATATCAAAAAAAAGAATTTCATATTTCGGCCAAATTTCATTAAAAATGTAAGGCTAACCCCTTGCAATTTTTGTCAATTTTGGTCAAAAAATGAATTTTCTCCAAACTTCCTGGAAAGACTCCTAAGGTCCCCTCGAACACATTCCAACTTGATTTAGGGAGAAATATATCAAAAAAAAGAATTTCATATTTCGGCCAAATTTCATAAAAAATGTAAGGCTAACCCCTTGCAATTTTTGTCAATTTTGGTCAAAAAATGAAATTGCTCCAAACTTCCTGGAAAGACTCCTCAGGTCCCCTCGAACACATTCCAAATTGATTTAGGGAGAAATATATCAATAAAAAGAATTTCATATTTTGGCCAAATTTCATAAAAATGTAAGGCTAACCCCTTGCAATTTTTGTCAATTTTGGTCAAAAAATGAATTTGCTCCAAACTTCCTGGAAAGGCTCCTAAGGTCCCCTCGAACACATTTCAACTTGAGTTAGGGACAGATATATCAATAAAAAGAATTTCATATTTTGGCCAAATTTCATAAAAAATGTAAGGCTAACCCCTTGCAATTTTTGTCAATTTTGGTCAAAAAATGAATTTGCTCCAAACTTCCTGGAAAGACTCCTAAGGTCCCCTCGAACACATTCCAACTTGATTTAGGGAGAAATATATCAATAAAAAGAATTTCATATTTTGGCCAAATTTCATAAAAAAATGTAAGGCTAACCCCTTGCAATTTTTCAATTTTGGTCAAAAAATGAAATTGCTCCAAACTTCCTGGAAAGACTCCTAATGTCCCCTCGAACACCTTCCAACTTGATTTAGGGAGAAATATATCAATAAAAAGAATTTCATATTTTGGCCAAATTTCATAAAAAATGTAAGGCTAACCCCTTGCAATTTTTGTCAATTTTGGTCAAAAAATGAAATTGCTCCAAACTTCCTGGAAAGACTACTAAGGTCCCCTCGAACACATTCCAACTTGAGTTAGGGACAGATATATCAATAAAAAGAATTTCATATTTTGGCCAAATTTCATAAAAATGTAAGGCTAACCCCTTGCAATTTTTGTCAATTTTGGTCAAAAAATGAAAGTGCTCCAAACTTCCTGGAAAGACTCCTAAAGTCCCCTCGAACACATTCCAACTTGATTTAGGGAGAAATATATCAATAAAAAGAATTTCATATTTTGGCCAAATTTCATAAAAATGTAAGGCTAACCCCTTGCAATTTTTGTCAATTTTGGTCAAAAAATGAATTTGCTCCAAACTTCCTGGAAAGACTCCTAAAGTCCCCTCGAACACATTCCAACTTGATTTAGGGAGAAATATATCAATAAAAAGAATTTCATATTTTGGCCAAATTTCATAAAAAATGTAAGGCTAACCCCTTGCAATTTTTGTCAATTTTGGTCAAAAAATGAAATTGCTCCAAACTTCCTGGAAAGACTCCTAAGGTCCCCTCGAACACATTCCAACTTGAGTTAAGGACAGATATATCAATAAAAAGAATTTCATATTTTGGCCAAATTTCATAAAAAATGTAAGGCTAACCCCTTGCAATTTTTGTCAATTTTGGTCAAAAAATGAATTTGCTCCAAACTTCCTGGAAAGGCTCCTAAGGTCCCCTCGAACACATTTCAACTTGCGTTAGGGACAGATATATCAATAAAAAGAATTTCATATTTTGGCCAAATTTCATTAATTAATGTAAGGCTAACCCCTTGCAATTTTTGTCAATTTTGGTCAAAAAATGAATTTGCTCCAAACTTCCTGGAAAGACTCCTAAGGTCCCCTCGAACACATTCCAACTTGATTTAGGGAGAAATATATCAATAAAAAGAATTTCATATTTTGGCCAAATTTCATAAAAAAATGTAAGGCTAACCCCTTGCAATTTTTCAATTTTGGTCAAAAAATGAAATTGCTCCAAACTTCCTGGAAAGACTCCTAAGGTCCCCTCGAACACCTTCCAACTTGATTTAGGGACAGATATATCAATAAAAAGAATTTCATATTTTGGCCAAATTTCATAAAAAATGTAAAAAATTGCAATTTTTGTCAATTTTGGTCAAAAAATGAATTTGCTCCAAACTTCCTGGAAAGACTCCTATGGGCACCTGGAACACATCCCAACTCGATTTAAGGACAGATATATCAAATATTTTTGCCCTTTATATTTAATATTATGTCGCCCCTAGAGGTTTCCACCTCTAGGGGCGACCATTAAATGTCGCCCGTAGCGGTTGTGACGGCTAGGGGCGACCATAATATGTCGCCCGTAGCGGTAATGGCTACCGCTAGGGGCGACCATCATGTCGCCTGCAGCGGTTGCTACCGCTAGGGGCGACCATTATATGTCGCCCGTAACGGTTGTGACGGCTAGGGGCGACCATAATGTCGCCCGTAGCAGTAATTGCTATCGCTAGGGGCGACCATTTTGTCGCCCTAACGGTTGCTACCGCTAGGGGCGTCCTTTATATATCAATACAAAGAATTTCATATTTTGGCCCAATTTCATTAAAAATGTAAGGCTAACCCCTTGCAATTTTTGTCAATTTTGGTCAAAAAATGAATTTGCTCCAAACTTCGTGGAAAGACTCCTAAGGTCCCCTCGAACACATTTCAGCTTGAGTTAGGTAAAGATATATGAATAAAAAGAATTTCATATTTTGGCCAAATTTCATAAAAAATGTAAGGCTAACCCCTTGCAAGTTTTGTCAATTTTGGTCAAAAAATGAAATTGCTCCAAACTTCCTGGAAAGACTCCTAAGGTCCCCTCGAACACATTCCAACTTGATTTAGGGAGAAATATATCAAAAAAAAGAATTTCATATTTCGGCCAAATTTCATAAAAAATATAAGGCTAACCCCTTGCAATTTTTGTCAATTTTGGTCAAAAAATGAAATTGCTCCAAACTTCGTGGAAAGACTCCTAAGGTCCCCTCGAACACATTCCAACTTAATTTAGGGAGAAATATATCAATAAAAAGAATTTCATATTTTGGCCAAATTTCATAAAAAATGTAAGGCTAACCCCTTGCAATTTTTGTCAATTTTGGTCAAAAAATGAATTTGCTCCAAACTTCCTGGAAAGACTCCTAAAGTCCCCTCGAACACATTCCAACTTGATTTAGGGAGAAATATATCAATAAAAAGAATTTCATATTTTGGCCAAATTTCATAAAAATGTAAGGCTAACCCCTTGCAATTTTTGTCAATTTTGGTCAAAAAATGAAAGTGCTCCAAACTTCCTGGAAAGACTCCTAAGGACCCCTCGAACACATTCCAACTTGATTTAGGGAGAAATATATCCAAAAAAAAGAATTTCATATTTCGGCCAAATTTCATAAAAAATGTAAGGCTAACCCCTTGCAATTTTTGTCAATTTTGGTCAAAAAATGAAATTGCTCGAAACTTCCTGGAAAGACTCCTAAGGTCCCCTCGAACACATTCCAACTTGATTTAGGGAGAAATATCTCAAAAAAAAGAATTTCATATTTCGGCCAAATTTCATAAAAAATGTAAGGCTAACCCCTTGCAATTTTTGTCAATTTTGGTCAAAAAATGAAATTGCTCCAAACTTCCTGGAAAGACTCCTAAGGTCCCCTCGAACACATTCCAACTTGATTGAGGGAGAAATATATCAATAAAAAGAATTTCATATTTCGGCCAAATTTCATAAAAAATGTAAGGCTAACCCCTTGCAAGTTTTGTCAATTTTGGTCAAAAAATGAAATTGCTCCAAACTTCCTGGAAAGACTCCTAAGGTCCCCTCGAACACATTCCAACTTGATTTAGGGAGAAATATATCAAAAAAAAGAATTTCATATTTCGGCCAAATTTCATAAAAAATATAAGGCTAACCCCTTGCAATTTTTGTCAATTTTGGTCAAAAAATGAAATTGCTCCAAACTTCCTGGAAAGACTCCTAAGGTCCCCTCGAACACATTCCAACTTAATTTAGGGAGAAATATATCAATAAAAAGAATTTCATATTTTGGCCAAATTTCATAAAAAATGTAAGGCTAACCCCTTGCAATTTTTGTCAATTTTGGTCAAAAAATGAAAGTGCTCCAAACTTCCTGGAAAGACTCCTAAAGTCCCCTCGGAACACATTCCAACTTGATTTAGGGAGAAATATATCAAAAAAAAGAATTTCATATTTCGGCCAAATTTCATAAAAAATGTAAGGCTAACCCCTTGCAATTTTTGTCAATTTTGGTCCAAAAGTGAATTTGCTCCAAACTTCCTGGAAAGACTCCTAAGGGACACAATCCACCTCGATTTAAGGACAGATATATCAATACAAAGAATTTCATATTTTGGCCAAATTTCATTAGTAATGCAAGGCCCTTGCAATTTTTGCCAAATTTGGTCAAAAAATGAAATTGCTCCAATTTTCTTCGAGAGAAGACCATTATGTTGCCCCTAGCGGTTGAGACCGCTTATCTAATTCAATTCCGAATTTAAGTCAATCATAATTCAACAAAAACAACACAGTCAATGAGGAGGCTATAACTTCAGAAATAGGTGTTCTGTTGAATTGCAATTTTATTCCATAATTGGGCGTACTATTTGACAGAAGTAGTTGAAATTACAAGAGGAATTGTCGGAAAAAAATGTAAATATAACCGAAACAATTACTGTGTGCAATCAGTGCCACATTTTTATTTCCAGACAATAAATTCAGAAATACCAGTTGTATTCAATTGAAATGTTGTCTATTAACATGCCCTACCATTGTGAAGAAGCATATTCTATGTCCAGTGGAACTGTTAAACAATAAAGGTGATCTCACCTAAACAACTGAGTGCGTTCAGCGAAAAAAATACAATCCAAGTTAAGGACAATCGTAATAATGCAACGAAAACCACACACTTGTTTTCCAGACGACAACTCCAGAAATACTTGTTGTATTGAATTGAACTTTGGTCTATTATGTGCTCGTGATGTCTTACATAAGCTTTTCAAATTATAAGAGGAAATGCCAAACAATAGCATTAGTATCACCAAAACATTTTAGTGAGTTCAGCGCAAAAAAAAATATAATCCGAATTAAAGTCAATATATAATGCAACTAAAACAACACACTCGTTGTGGAGACGATTACTTCAGATATATCCGTTCTACTGAATTGAAATTGTGTTTAATAATAAATCGTGGTATGTTCATGAAAAGGTTTAAATTACAAGAGGATTTGAAAAACAATAAAGTTGATATTACTAAAAACAATTGAGTGCGTTCAGCGCAAAAAATACAATCCGAAAGTCGTTATTTATGCAATCAGAACAACACAGTTGATTTCCAGACAACACCAACAATCCATATTGTATTCAACTTAAATACAGTCTACAATTTGATCGTGATGTCTTACAGACACCAGTTAAATTTCTAAGATTGTCAAACAATAAAGTTAATATATCGAAACAATTGAGTACGTTCAGCGCGAAAAATACAATCCGAATTAAAGTCAATCTTTAACGCAAGTAAAAATACACACTCCTTGTGGAGACAATTACTTCAAAAATATCTGTTGTATTCAATCAAAATTTTGTCTATTAATAAGTCGTAATATGTTCATAGCTTCTAAATGTTGCCTGCACAATGTGCAAAAATATTTTGTTTAGGCTAATTAACATGTGGAGTGAGAGGAGCCTAGAAATGAAGCAGAAATATGTTTTTTATTCATTCATTAGATAAAGTGATGAATGCAGATACATACATTGGCACAATTATTCACATTTTACACATTTTACACACATTATTTATATGTTAAAATATATGTCTTTTAATTTGTTGTTCAAAGATTACCAGAATTTATTTTGTTAAAACTACTTACAATTAAATACATCCATGTTTAACAGGCCAATTGACATTTACATGATATCCTAGAAACAGATTAAGTTATCTATAGAAATATTTACCAATTTAATTTATAGTATGACTTCAATTTTTTTAGTTACCTTGGGCGAACAAAATTTACATTACAGTTATCATTACTTTCAATATACTGTACTCTACTTCCAACCCAGTCAATATGCAATAAATAATAAATATGATACACCAATATTTATGCTATGATATACTAAAAAATAAAAAAAAATTCATGCTTTCCCAAGCACTTACAAAACCGAGGTAATATAACATATAATTTAGTATACATATCATTAATTTGTGCAATTCAGGTTTTCTATAATTTTGACACAAAACATATAACATTTATATGGCAAGATGCATATTTTTGTAAGCCTCTTCAACAATTATATACATAAATATTTACCACAGTGTTTACCATTGAAGATACTCGAAGTATAAGGTATGACATAACATGTGATCACAAACATAATATGAAGACGATATGAAGTCATTCATATTTACATCATCGTGCTTTCTATGTCATCCCCGTCATGCTCACCCGGCACCCAATCGCCAGCCTCATGTTGGCCCTTCATGCCGATTGGTGACGCCCTAGGTGATTCCTGTGGGGTTTTCCTACCTGGACCCAGGTCCGCATCACCGTCCGAGTCGTCATCGGTCGGTGGCGCCGAACTCATCCGGCCGTTGGCTCTCTCAGCCGCCGCAGCTTTCTCCGCGACTGCGGTGGAGTATTTTGGCGGGTCGTGGTAGGCCTCCACCGCCACTGTGATGTCCGAGGCATCACGGGCATCCATCTCCGAGCCGTGGACAGGGGCCGCACCGTTACTCACCGCCGCCGCCTCGCCCGTCGGGGAGGTAGCCCCACCTTGCTCCAGGTTCCAATCCGACACCTGAAGGCCCTTGTTGTCGTAGGACAGGACCCGTATCTCGCCTGTGTCCTCGTCTCCACGGACCGAGGCTACGATCTCGGCAACCTCGCTGGTGAGCTGGCCACAACTGCAGCCGAAGAAATGACCAAAGCACCACAGGCCGCAGCCTCGTGTGACGCCCTGCCGGCCATAGCTGGTGCGCTGGTTGACTTCTTTCTTCACTATTTCAATCTTTCGGTCCACCTGTAAGTTAAGAAACAAGTAAGTTTATAAAACAAATGCTTCTGAAATTTCAAAACGTTGAGACAAACGTCTGTCAAGAAAGCATGGGGGGGGGGGCTTATCACTACGTCGCTTTTTTTCAATACTGGCGAACAGGTTGCATACCGGCGGACATTGTATACAAAAATTGTTTATAACTGTATTATAACATATTATGTTCGCCAGTATGAAAAACGCGTGGTGCAAATTATTCGCCAGTATGGAAAAACGCGACGACAAGTGAACTTTCTATTTTGTTTTTGACCGGACGGTGAGGTGTATAATTATGCAAAAAATTCAATGACTTTAAAAAATTACAGTCCTAATTTTGCCGGGAGTAGAAATATTACTAAAATATCTATCTTGATGGTGCCAACTACATGATGGTCAAATGTTCATTTTAGAGAATGAAGACAAACTAGCAGTTCCAACACAACTTTTGTTTTAAACGAAAAAGACGGGTGATCTATTAAATTTTTCAAACCACACTTTCTATAGCGCAGAATTACTCCGACTAACGAATTTGACTCCAGGGTTTTACACTATCGTGTAAGTATATAGTTAAGTATATAAGTATATAAGTAAGTATATAAGTAAGTATATAGTTAAGTATATAAGTATATGTAAGTATTTAGTTAAGTATATAAGTATATAGGTTCTCTCTTGGTACCTCATCGATCTTGTGACGTAGTTTGGTCTCCTCGTCCACCTCCTCTTCGTAAATCTCGTCATCTGTGCGGTAGTCTGCATCCGTCTTGTCACCGAACGAGTGACGCAAGGCAACCAGCTAAAGAGGATGGGTACCAGCGAACACGAATATGTAAATGACTTCATGTTGAATACAAAATGGTTTTTCTTTATGTCTGCGATTGAGACATGTTTTATAACAGAAATAAAGCGGACAGACTTTGAAGTCAAAGACAAAATATTGACGCCCATGTTGATTCACCTTGGGCATGAAGACGATGAGCAGTGTCAGCGTGACGGCGGTCCAGGTCAGAGCACCGATGACGGCGTAGGAGATCTGTGGGGTGTTGCTGAGAATGAAGGACAGGGGCGCACTGACCACGCTCAAGGTGACCACGCAGTAGATGGCGATGCCGGTCCAAAAGGTGTCATTCAGGGACAGGATCTTCAGCTCGCGGGTCTCGTAGGCCAGGAACGCACCTAGATGTGCACAAAAAGGTCCGATACGAGACGTTCGACCGCTCATTTTCATTTGTTTGCATCATGTTTAAGCCAATGTACGTATGTATTACGGTTGAATTATATCCGACATTCAACTTATTTTGTATTTGTATGTGAATGTTTACACAATAGAAAAGAAAAGGTGAGTTTGCTGCCACCATGCGTCTCAAAAGTCTCCATTCACATGGATCTATGAATAAACTAGGTCCAATTTCACGAAATACCATTTGAGCAGAACTACTCTATAGTCATATTTATCACATGACAGCGCTGTTAAACTGATTCTGCGAAGACCGTGTCATGTTAAGCAGAAACATTGTCTAAGCCTGGAAGAACATTTTCTCCACTAAAACAGGTTATCAGTCAAAATGACATACATTGTATATTGCTTTGCAGAATATTGTTATTGATGTTTTGAGTAATTATATTACATTACTAAGATGGCTTCATTAAAAAAATTCGAGTGCAAGACACATTTGAAATAAATCTTACCAAGTAAGAGTGCCAGACCGTGAAAGACGAACAACCCAACAATGAAGTAGATAGAGTCACCCTGGGTGCAGAACTCAACCAGGTCATTGTATCGTGTGTTCTCGTTTTCATTCAACTGAAACATGACCAACAAAGTATTTATACAATTTATGTTCAAAAAGTTAAATAAACCACAAAAGGGGACTGACTGAAATGAAATTATGAGCTGTGTACAAGCCTATTGAGGGCACTCTGTAGGGCGATGTTGGCCTACTTCCCTGCCATTTTCTAAATCTCGGCTTCATCTTTTGATCAGGCTTCGTATCTGGTGTCTGAATCTGTTTTAGACGCCTTTAAATGTCAAAACCAAAACGAGTAGGACTACTCCAAGTTGATATCATTATTTGATAAAGGCATAATACTGTTTGCGAAGTATACACTGTACTTATTTTAAGTCTCTCACTATGTCATGGAGCTAAAATCTCCTGCAACCGAAATTGGAGGTGATACCAAGGGTTCGAAAACCCTATTTTTTGCGACCAATTTTTAAATTTTCCAAAAAGGAAGTGTGTGATTATTCGGCAATCGGCCGGGATAGCCCACGAAGGTCTCTCGACTTATTCCCAGCGGAGCCCCTTGGTAGAAGATGTGGAAGGAAATTACAGTTCTAGTGGTGGGAGGAAAACCCCAGAATGATATACTAGGGAAAACCCACAGACTCAGGCAGGGACGGAAAACCCATGGAGCCTACACATATTGGCCCAGGCGGTATTCGAACCCGGGTCACAGCGGTGGAAAGTATGCCAACCTGAGTGGGAACCAGTCTAGCAAAGCAGGGAATTGTCTTTCATATTGGTAGCCATGTTCTGTAACCTTTCCCTGCGAAGGGGCACCTTAACTTAAAAGTCCTTTGAAGAAACATAAAATGATTACCCTCTCATTCACAATCTCCGTGGTTGACTGCATCGGGAAGGCCACGATCCACACGACCAAGGCGGCGATGTCTACAACAAAGAAGATCAACATGGTCCGGGCCATGTGACCACCGTGTGGATCCTGCGGATAAAATTGCATGAATTATCAGATTATATAAATCAGCTACTTGTTTCCAATATACCTTAAATGTGTTACCGATTACGTGAATGCACGATGAAAGAGCTACTAAAAGGTATTAACTTGATTGCACCCTTAGGATGCCAAAAAGGTTAATGTTCAAATATACGCACTGGCTTCCACAGGTTAGCCTTGGTCACCAGCAGCTTGTGTGCCCGATATATCTTGGAAAACAGGACACCGTAAGCACAGGCGAATCCAATGGTCAGTGTTGATGAGCTCAGCTGTGAAATACATCAAAGAAACATTTAGAAAATTAATCTACGTCATCACAAAGAAAAAAGGGAGTATTTTAATAATTATAAAACTGTTAAAAAGTAAATCAAGACATAAAACTAACACGTTTAGTTACCTCTTTTACGTTTGAGTAAGACTGACAGATATGGAATTTTAATGTCAAAACAGTAAAGAATACACACGGTGTTAGATAATCTACAAACAATAATGTTAATTTTCTTTTAAGAGCCTAACAATGAGCTAAGATAGAACATACTTCGATGCATATCAACAATACGGAGTGAGAGGCTTTTGGATATAATTAATAAAGAGCACATTATTTTTAGTACTACAAATTATGAAAAATATCATAACATTACACAAATTACAAAAGTATTACCCAGATGCTGGTTTCAATTATATGGCAGATTAAACAGTGGGAAATGGTGTGAAGGTATGAATACAATAAATACAGTACGACGTTGTGCGAAAGCTAGTTACTTGATAATGTGACAGACCTTGCAGATAGTAGTGAAGTATTCCTGTCCGACGAGACCGCTATCCATACCAAGCAGCACCACCGTGCCGTAGAGGAGAACACAGCCGAATAGCATAACACCCAGATAACCGGGCATGGCTCGACCAAATACACTGTTGAACAGAAATCAAGTTATCATAGATAAACAAAAAAACATGGGATATAGGAACAATGCTCGTTGTATTCCATCACAAGGCTAATTTCAAGTCCGTCACATGTGAAATCACAAGTGAAAACACAAATGAAACCACAAGTGAAATCAAAGTTGAGTAACATAAAGACATAGGTTTGCCTCTGTGACAGCTTATTCAAATAGCTTGTGACTGGGCTTGGTGAGAACGAATACCTCGTGAATGTCTTGGTGTTGATTTGTGAGAGCTTGACTACAGCTGTCTTAAGTGTTTGTCAATCCTTTTACCAGATATTCGTTTTGTTTCCTTTCGTCAGTGTTTTTAACATGTCAGCCATAAGTCGATGACAATTTAAATCGTGTTAGAGCAATGAAAATGAATTCCTTCGTCAAACTTTATTTGAATAGTTTGTCACTCGACTTGAGACTAGACTTTGCGATGTAAAGACTTGTGATTGACTTGCAATGACTTCCGATTGACTTGCGTTGACTTCATCACATCTCACGCTTTCCTCGACATTTTTTGTCCTCATTTTCTTCGTAGTATTTTTAAAACCAATTCATGTATAAAACTGTCACAAAAATTAAGGCAAAGCTGTGGAATAGACGATTTACCAATTACGATTGACCTACTTCACTAAAAAAAATCCCCAAACTCTGCAGAATTCTGCAGAGTACTGGAATAAATTTTTATAATGATTCACTCACGATCTTTGCCTGTATGCCACCATGAAGAGAGCTAGGACAAAGACTAGCGTGACCCCAACACCCGAAAACCCAGCAGCTACGTAAATGTAGGTGTGTGGGACGTACAGGCTGATATTCCTCTCAGTGGTTGCATCTTTAGGTGCTACTCCACCTGTTAAAAAAAGACAGTAAAACACACTTTGCACCCTTGATTGCAAAACCAAAAGTAAGTCCTCACTAGAGGGAGAGTTTTGTGGGCATACAGTGACAGGTGACTTTCTCTGAATGGGGACGTGGTTCCAAGAGGAACCGGTGACCAAATATTTCATGGAGCTGCTACATGCACAGAATTTGCTAATTTGCTTACGTGAAATATTTGCCGAGTAAGAACAGCTTACCAGCTGAAATAATCACACAATGTCAATGCCTGTGATTGGTTCTCGGTGGATTTTGGCTTAGCAGATAAGATTTAAGCAATATTTTCTGCGAATCAGTTCTGTGAAAACTTGCGATTTACTTTGTAAAAAAAACGTTTACAATTTCCGGTAATACTCTTAATATTAAATTGCTCAATGCTCACAAAAGTACAACTATTACGACTAATAATCGGTAATATTCAGATCAAGATTTAGACAAATCCCACACTGTTGTTACTGTTTTCCAATAACACAATGTTAATGAATAATCTACCTTGCCATTCGATACCGTCGATGATAAGCTCTTCCTTCTGAGGCGAGTATCGGCCAATTGGTACCTCCGTGCTTTCTGAGTGAAGGAACACCAAAATCAAACAGAATCGACCATAGGTTAAACACATTCATGCTAAAAAGAAAATACATACGTATAAACGGTGATGGCAAAAGTTCTCTGAGTCTATAAGCTTACCTTTCATCTGGCGGACTTCAATTAATCCTTCCCGATTGCCATCTCTGGTGAAGCTGACTGTCCCCTGCAATTTATTGCAGCAAAATATCAATGTATCGTTAGTTCCTTTGCCTATTTCTAATAAATTTAAAAAACGAAATGATATTGAATGATTTACTCTGACATCGTGTTGTATTGAACTGCCATTAAACAAGTGCGAGTGCACAATAAGTTCTAGCCGTGTTGCAAGAAGTCTTGCATGGAATTGATCAAAATGATGCCTGCCAGAGCTTAAAAGTGCGACGCCGAAAAGTGCGACGCCGATGGACATATGGAACACCATACCTTCAAGTGGTCAATTTTCGGGACAGACAGACAGACCAAGTGACATGTAGAAGCTCCTGCCAGAGCTTAAAAAGCCACAAACTTCGTTATTTGGACAGCCTATTCAACACCGGACAAATTTCCTGAACGATAAAATAATGTGCATGTTGCGCGTATATATACTCACCGAGACACCTTCAAATTCCAAGTTGTAGAGAGTGTCCATGAACACTTCCCGCATCGCCACGTTCTCATAGTGAAAATCCTCCAAACTGTCCGATGTGAAATTGCCTAAGGATCATAAACACCATTAACAATGAGGCACATACAAAGACGGTTGGAACATAATATTTGGGACTCCATAGAATTTCTACACAATTCAAAAGACGATGTCGTCACAGCAAACAAAACAACATCAAAAATGCATTTAGAGAACAAGATACAATGTACCGGTATTCAAACGGAGTACATGAGAAAACGTAAATAACGATATGGCAGGATCAGCATTATTGACTTGATATTTAATATACTGCAGGCAGTTTAAGGCTCGTTGTATATTCAATTAAGAATGCTGCCTAGAAAATTGTTCATCAAATTATCCTAAAAGGACTTCAAACTAAACTGTCCGATTTTTTTTAGAATGATCTAGATTCAAAGCTTTCGAGAAGATATCAACGAAGGAAAATGGGTCCATGAAAAGTGAGATTACGCAACTTTAGAAAGTTTAGACGTTCAGTACGTTCCGTACGGAACGTTCAGTACGTAATGAAAACAATACCTTTAAAAGACGAAACAGAGAGTGCTAAGCTTATTAAGTGCCTTCTTGAAGAATAAAAACAAAAAAACACGTTCTTCTTTTATAATCAATCAGTGGAGGAATTCATCAAAATGATTCTGTTTCAGTAGAGCATGGACTTGCGGGTTGTAATTACGGAAATTAAATGTTGAATCTTACTCAAGCTTTTATTAAGCGTGAGTGCGATGGTCCAGGTAGCGTCGTAGGCGTAGGAGGCGGCAGCCTTGTTGGCGTCAAATGACGTCTGGTTCTTCTGGGCATCAAACAGTTCCTCCACAATCGCCTCATATTCCCTCGCAGTCTTGAGGAGAAAGATAAAAATACTATCCAGGTAATGCTGGTAGGCCCTAATCACTAAATGCATGTCTTGAACAAATCGATGCTTGGTTATCATTTGATTATTTGCACTCCTTCAAGTTCGATCAACCTTAAGAACTGAACATCACGATACAAAGTAAAACATTTGCAGATCTTGAAAAGGAAAGAGGGAGGAACGGTTCCGTTGGGGTATCCAGGTTCGGGATGTAGGGATACTATGGGGTATTTTCCTTTAACAAAGAGGCCAAAACTCGATTTCGTGCGTAAAATGGTTTTGTAAATGGGGGAGATAGTACCAGCCATGAAGTGCAGGAGCTTTCAATTCCTGAAAAAAACCAAAACCCCAAATTACAACATGTCATCAGGGAAATCCCCAATGGATACGCCACTGGAAGTGTCGATCCCATTCCTCAAAATCCTACTTGATAAATTGTATCTTTTGTCCTTGCTAGCTCAATCAGCGTCAAGACTCAACCAGCAGCTCCCAATTGCAGGAAAGGCAAATGTCTGGTTTCTAAGTTGGAATACTCACGGGTACTCATTAAATGCCAAAGGTAACTCTGGCAAGACCAGAAACTCCGTCTTTAGTGCAGACCCTTGGGATTTCAGGTTGGCATTCAAGAAAATGATGGCAGCACTAAAGCAAAAACTCCTTGTTAAGTATTTTTGTTTCAAACAATTGTACTTACGTAACCAGACGGAGTTTTCTGGTCCTTGTAGATACTCAAGGGGATGTTCTCAGTCGAGATGTATCCTTTAATTGCCTGGTGCAGCTCCTCGGGAGTGCAAGCGACTTCATCGTCCGGTACCTCCCACCACTTGTCCTTGTACCCGCCGGGCAGGAACCAGGCATAATGCTTACCGTACAGCTTCTGCTGATACGCCTGTAAGGAGCCATAATGAACACAACAAAGTCTTCAGAGAGCACATATTGTTAGGGGAAAAAATGAAGGACTCCATTTACAGTAGTTGAGAAAAGGGTACTGTATACTACTGAAAATGGCTTTAAAAGTTTAAATGTATGAAGTACCTGGCAAAATACACGCCTGGCCATGTTCTCGTAGAAGTTGCCGAAGATTATCCACGCCCCTTTGCTCTGAAATGGGAGAGAATGCAACATAATCCGTTGATGTTCAGACAATAACATCCCTTTAGTAAGAGACAAACTACGCTTTAGAACATAAGACGTACCTCCAGAAATAGATTTGTGAAATTACCATGCATGGCAGTTCACAGCAAGACGATTTCATGAACATAGTATTTTTTTCTGACGATCATAAACTATAGGCGAAATTCTCTCGGAAAGACCAATTAATTTATGAATATGGAAACTTAAAATAATATACACAACATGATATCAAGACAGGTTGGCGCAATGATACCTTCCTGTGACTCATTGTGAAACTCCCACTCAGGCTGACATGTGGGTTGGGTTCCCATTTATTCCATACTTTTTCCTCACATCTCGAAAACGTATTATTGTTGATCGTCTCCTTTCCCTCTAGGTAACCTATCCCTCTAGGTAACCTATCCCTCTTGGTAACCTATCCCCAGTCTTCCTTGCTATACACCTTTGCAATTATCCCGTAACCCTTGTTCTCATAATTGAACAGATGAAATAAAATATTTGTATAATGTAAATTTAGGGAATCTGATGGTTACTAATATTGTAAACCCACCTTAAGATTCTTGACCTGTTCTTCCGGATCCACGGTGAAGCTCTCTGAAGTTATCAGTTCGATATCATTGTTGGCCAGTAGAGTGCTGAAATCGTTGATGGACTGAGGACATTGTAAAAACATTATACGTATTGTAGTCGCTAAGACATTTATACGTTTTCACTTCTACAACACCATCCGTTTTGCCAATTTAAATAAGCGCCTTTACGTTTATTGGTACTAAAATAAACTTCATCTTAAGAAAGTTCCCACTTTGGATAAAGCTAAATGTGTACGGGATCATTGATGTGTTTCAATTGCCTAGACACAATCCCCAATTTTGAGAAAAAAAACGAAGATCCGGCTCGACACTTCTGTATATCTAGAAGCATTCCTAAATGTTTTCATTCATTTGCTCCCCAGACAAAATTCGAAATAAACAAGAAATTGAAATTACAATGATATCAATTTAGTCAATCAGTCAGTCAGTCATTGACCCACTCAGTAAGAGGCAAATAAGTTGGCCCGAAGGTCCACCAAACCAAATTAAACACAATTACGCAAATTGCGCTAATCTTACTGTCGAGAAGACTTCCTGGTTTTCGTGCAGGGTGGCCACTCGGGTCCAATTATATCGCTTGATCATCGCCAGGCGGGCGTTGTTGAACTGGGAGTCGGCAGCGTTGGTACGGAAGAACGTCTTGTACTGGCTACGGACTGACAGCGCTGGGCTGGATGCTGAATACGATATCTGGGGGAAAGATAACGAATTTCACTTGCATCTATGGCTTCGTTTCAAAGCATTATTACTATATAGGAGCATAGTGGCCGTCTATAAGAGGGTGGGATTTCAATATTTTCAGTAACAAATAAAACGTGTACCATGCCTATCCCAGCGTTACAAAAACACTGCCTCTAAGCCACTATACATATGGTCTACTGGAATGAACAATTGCGGCCCTTACAATAACTGCTCTGGAGGTGATACCGATCATCTTGCTATTCATAACTTTCGTAAATAGTGCCATTTGGGAGACACTTTAGCCTCATGAGAGATATGTGGCATTAGCCTCAGCTCTGATTTAGAGGCAACATTTTAATGTCGCAAACAGGCTAGATCGATTGCTCCATGGCCCAGTTAGTAAAAATACACAAAAAAATTGTTGGGGTAGGATAAGGGATAATCTGGGGTTAGGGGTCAGGAAAGTCGGGGAAAATGTATGCACAAGTCTATGGGAATGTCTCCCTATGAGTCCCTAATGGTACCATTTTTGGTTGTTATTATTATAATCAACCCTATTAAACTGTTAAAGCGCACCTTTCCCTTTCAAATTGGACCCCAGTTACACCACTACTCTGTACCTGGATAATGTTCCAGAGGTCGGCAGCCAATGAGATGGTCTGAGCCACGGAGGAGCAGCCTGCACCTAGCAGCATGTGATACTTGGTCCCGGAGTTGATGTGCTCAAATAGAGCCTGAGTAGCTATACCTGCATTGCACTACACGCCGGAGGCAAGGGGTGATAGAAGTCAGATTAAACATGGTATGTGTTATGAGGGTTACGTGTATCTGTCGACAAAACATGAAGAAGAAACAATCCGCTGATTATTGTAGACCCTAACTGTTATTATCTTGGAAAACATAGAAAAGGCAAGAGATGATATCGTCATAACGTTTAATACCTGGTATTTCGCACATACAGCACTTTTCTCTCATCGCAGTCGAACCATTAATGACAAAAACGCATAAAAAACCTAGAACAGACAGTTGTCGGTGTGAAAACAGAAAGCGATGTACAGGGACTGGCCAACGACGTGCCTACTTTATCAAACTGAAAACAAGGTGAGCGCGATTTACATCCAACGCTCAATAATGGTGACATAATTTCGATACGTTTTTAGATCTAAATGTTTAATTTATAACAATTATAGAGTATAACATTATTCTTGTCGTATAATAATTCGTTACCTCTGACTTTGGACAAGAAGGGATAACTTCAAAATAATCAGTTTCCTATAACAGATGAATGTTTGAATTAGCCATAGGACAGGCTATTAAAGTTCCGCCTTAAAGGGCGAATTCCAATGTTTAAAAGATTTATGATTCTCTTCTTTCAATCAGTAGTCGAACGGAATAAAAACAAAAGAGACAGTCGTCGACAGCACATGGATCCTCATGACACCATACACACACACAAATAGAGGAAGTTAGCGTCGTCTTGTGTTATCTGCACTCTCAGAAAGCTCATAATTGAAAGCGCTGCTATCTTCCATCAACGAGATTAGATTTAGCCTTTGTCGTCACTGAATTCCAGTGTTGTGAAGTAGCATTACAACCGTCGTAATCAAATTACATTTCTCTACGGAATCGATGATGCAAACCAATGACCTTCCTGAGGTAAGGTACATATCTGAAGTGTCCTGTACAATTGACAAAAGCCAATTATCTCTGGAGAAATATCAGACGCGCAGTCAGAAGTTAGAAGTGTAGATTAATTGCTCAGCGAAGATGGGTGCTTCTATTTAGTTTATTTGTTTATACATTTTGCAGAAGGATGAACACAAATTATATCAAACATAAGACTCACTTTCACTCCGACATGGAGAGATATGTCTAAACAAAAATTAAAATGCTCTTCTCTTGTTTCAAAATTGACTAATCTATAACCAATTAATACCAGAAGAGAACACATTTAAGCCAATGTTAGTAGGCTAAGTTGTAAAATTACTCACAAAGCTATCATTCCAGTTCATGGCGAGCCGATATCCCGGGAGGATGTCCTCCTTGTCGTTGATGTGCTCCAGGGCGAGGTTCGCTGCCAGCAAGGCGCTGTTCCCGCGGTGAAAACTATCCCCGGAGATCGGAAAGAACCCCACAATGTACAACGGGTACCTCGGGTCCTCCGATAGCGCCTCGGTTGATGAACTACCCGGGGAGTTGGTGGACCCGGCTGGCTCCGTAGTCATACGTGGCTGTGGCGTGGTGGTGAACTGGACACCAGACGTGCCTGATGTCATGGTGTCAGTCAGGACAGCACCAGTTGATTGGGGCAGACTCAGGGAGACGGTGGTGATGGTGTCTGCCGAGGATTGTGGGGTAAAGGTGACGGTGGCATTCGGGGTCGGCTGTTGGGCGTTGATGGTTGAAACTCCGCATAAGAACAGCACCAGCGCACAGTAGTACTCCATTTTGGAAAAAAAGTTTGATCCTGCATCGGGATAGAAAACGCATACATTAAAAATTCTGTTTCAAAAGATATCGCTTAATGGTACATGCACTTTACTTAATTTTTGTGCGTGAATTTCTTCTCCAGGGCAGGGTGAAACCAGGTTTTTTTTCAGGTAGTGGGGCACTGAGGTAAAGTTTGAAGTAACTGCCACTTGAAATGGTGGTAAGAATGGAAGATATTAAAAGAATGTCGATATTTCATAAGTGAGTACGTTTTCAAAGGGAATAGACATTGTCAAACACCGGTTTGTTCATCGAGTTTGGTACAACCAGCACAATAAACGACATCTTTGATCGATGTAAGCAAATATTATACACCTTTGTATTCTTTTTTTTTAAATGTGGGTATTTTAGATAAGAAAACAGCCGAAATCGACCAAGCAATTCGGGACAGCTGAATCAAAAAAATAATACTCTAATGAGGATTATTGATCGGAAAATCCACTGAAGTTTATGCGATTGCGTTGTTTCTAATTCTTTCTGCGTAGGCCTATGACAAACCTTTAGGTATTTGTCAAGAAATATGTTACACTTTAATTTGTGGAAAATACCGCAAGAAAATCAAATCGTGTTCATTTTTGGAGTCATATTTTTGGAACCATTTTTGTGTGTCACACTCCTTCGCATTTTCCTCCACGTATGTCAGTAATAAAACCCGTAGGCGTTTTAATATTCAGACACTTAAACACACGTTCAACAAGATTTCCGGAGGCCTCGAGGTCATAGCCGTTATATAAAAAGAACTCGGCATTTCTCACTGGTTATTTCACTCATGCATTTTCCACATGAGAGCTCTTTTTCATTTGCGACAGGAAGAATTACTGGTCGTCGTGCATTGTTCAAATAAAAGGGATTTAATATTTAAAAATAATGTCATCGAGCAAAACAAAACTTGTTACTACAATCGCATAGAATCACTGGTGCAGGCCTATACGCCCTGCACAGATAAAGTCAGTTGAAATTAAGCATCACGAAATAGCAGGGGAAGTGAGATTAACGTAGCACGCTAGATTTACTAGCAGTAGACAAACTCAACCAAAATCCTTCATATTAAAGGATATATTTGAATTCTGAGCTTTACGTAACTGGCGATTAAACTAAAAGCAAAAATAGTTCCGCAGGTATCGACTAGATAGTCTGAGTGATGTTTAAGTTTATGTTAAATAGCAACCGAGTATAAATGATTTAATCAATGAGGAAGAAAACTGATGAGAACTGATTCGACGTTTGAGACTATCACCATGCAACGCTTCGTTTGGCGGAAGATTGCAAATTGAAATGATTTTGATATTGCACGAGGATTTATTTGACAGGTTTGGCATGCCAAGACAACAATTACATCGCATCATTGGACATTGGGCGCACGGTAAGATGATACAGCTGCTATTAGATTTGATTACGCTTGAACATTTCTTGGAGTTCACTACCCCATCAGTGCAGTCATATGAGCAGTACAGCAAGTTAAAAAAAAAAAAACATGAACAGAAAGACAGGACGTTTATGTGAATTGGTCTGGTTTTACACTCACTTGATTTACCCTCCCTTCCCCCCCCCAAAAAAAAAAAATTCAACGATATTAATTGTGTTCACGTGCTACAGACAAAAAAAAACATTCTTTATTATTATAAGTAAATTATTATAAATGATTTGTTTGTTTCTTAAGACAAGATGTGGCAATCACAGATTGAATTGCATCAAGTCGAGACAGGAAATAAATCTAGCACACAGTACTTATAAATACATCCAAATAAAATAACAGTAAACAAGTACAAATATTAACAATTACCCAAATGTCAACCCTCTAAAAAAAAGTTTTTTGTCCCAGCTTCAGGCCTACTACTGCCCCAGCCCCAAAACTACAAAAAATCCCAAACTTTATTAATATATGTTTCATTAACATATGTTTTCCATATCTTTACACTTTAATTAGCGAGAAATATGAAACAATTTTACAGCTGTGAAATTTAATGCAAAGGGCTTCAAGAACATTGCTTTAATATTGCAGTTGAATTACGTTTTAAATACATTTCCAGAAAAATAAGAAATTTGAAAACAATCCACGTGGTACCACAACAATGTATGCCTTTCAGCCAAATGCAGTTAACTTGTGCAAAATTGTGAAAACGTGTTTAGCCTACAGAACTTGGAAACAAAATGAGGTCAGCGATCTTCGGCTTTGAACGATCTTTTGCTTAATCCACGTTGTGCTGTTTCTTTGTTGCACGAGAGAGTGTGGTACTTGAAAATAATAAAGGCTTCAACACCAATCTACTGACAACAAGAAGTGATTTATCTTCCATACCAAAATAATAGGACAGAATACAAAGCACCATATCTAAACAATAGTCTATCATCAGTCTATTGCAAACGTCGGGAAAAAATGTTGCCTGAAACAAATGGTATACTAGGCATATAGTATACCAAACGGATTCATTCTAAGCACGTACAAATAAATGCTGAATAGGATTTTTCTGATGGACTAAAGATCTATACATCGAAGCAATCTGGGGATCTCTTCAATACACATGCATCACTTTATTATTAACATCGTGGGAGCCTCGATGTTTTTTCCTTGCAGGACGAAATTGGCAAAAATTATGTTTGTCTCGGGAGGCGTTGATGCCGCTCGCACAGAAAAATTGAAAGGACTTGTGATTTTTGTTCTTGTCACACACAAAAATTATATTGTCGGGGGAAAAACTAAGCACTGTTCAATCCATGGATGGGCATTTGCTCAATTCATAGCTTACCTAATTATCTTTTCACCGACAACGCAGCAATCATTAAATTTTACAATTTTTGTCTCTTGTTAATATCTGAATGCATTGACGTCAGTATTCAATAAGGTAGGGCTACGTTTTTCCTAGCGGTTATAAACAGGAGTCAAAGTAACACTTAATCAAATGTGACGAGGAAAAATATCCGCTGAACAGCTTGACCTTTGCGATTTCTAATTCTCTTATGAGTGTTTGTTTGATCGTCATCCCACATAAAAGAGGGTAACGATATATTGGGATTTAAATGATTTAAAAGAAAACATAAGCACTTTCGTCTGAGATGCGCCATTTTGTTCCTTAAGCGCGTTTCCCACGAAAACATAACCTTGCAAAATGTAAAGATTTCTGATAATTATCGCCATAGAATATATCTCGACACCAAGGTTTAATTTCGAAAACCTTTGCTTCAAATGCAATTAAAGCGCTTTCGTTGTTGCTGGACGTGATGTCCCCCAGATAGATGTCACGTACATGGAGTGAATTACGCGCCGCCAGCCTGATGTTGACAGCTTTGGCTTATAATTCAATGGCATTAACTCACTGTTGGAAATACGTATAGAGCCCAGACAATGTCTGCCATTTCAGATATAAAGATGCGGGGTTGAAACATTTTCTCCATGAAATATGAAAAACATTTTAAGTTCATGTGACCCAGACCTTTGAAATGTGGTAAGTAAACAATCTAAGACACTAAATTTGGTGATCTTCGGACGAAAGTACACCTTTAGATTGCTAAGTGCTGGCAAGTGTCAATATTTGAAAATGGATAGACTTTGGTCCCTAGGACTCTTAAACAACTATCACTGCTAATTATCATTTGTGACTGCGGTGTCTGGTTAAAGATTCTCTCACTATTTGTGTGAGTGACTCATTAACGATTCTGCACGATGCTATTTTAATATCATGAATTTCTAGAATATTACAATATTAATCTCCACTGGTTTCCATCGCCTCAACGATCCGCACAATCTCGCTCTTTCAATTTTCCTACTCCTTCCGTTATTAAGACAAGAAATTATCAACTTAAAAAAGAAGTGTTGAACCTGAATAGTATTAATTAAGAATTCAGTATATTTCTGTAAATCTTGAAAGTTGTCGTAACAGCTGTTGTAAATAATTATGTCGTTTTTGCTGCATAATCTTGCGTATGTTAATTCAAGAACGTCATGTTCGTATTTTTTTTAGGAAGAGATGGTGGTGTACGCAGTGCCTGCCTTTATTGCCACGTCACTTTAAAACAAAAATTGGGTTCGCTTTTTTGGGAGGGGGGCACATGGCCCCGTTGCCCCCCCCCCCCCCGGATCCGCCATTGATAAAGCATGAACAACATTGCTCACAGTGTTCGATTTCTCAGTGATCAGAAGCGCCCCGTGACATGCATTGGGCTAAGTTCACACGATTCACACGAGTTAAAATGCGATCTCAGAAACGATATTCTTCCAGGCCGAGCGAGAAATCCCCCTAATGATTCCATCAGCGGGCTTTTTCTCGACCGTTTCTCTCCCCCGAGTCAAAACATCATCTGCGATCCGGTTAGAGAATGATTAATGGGAGATTAAACGAAAATTTCACAGTAGCACGACGGTACGAGACGCAGAAAACAACTAGTCTTTGGTAGGAAGCAATTACCGAGGGCTCAATTCGGCTGCAGGCTACCTTGATAAGTATGATCAGCTGTCACGCTTGTCTGATCTGTCCTTGCCCAATATTGATGACTTAATTTTGAAACTCATCACGTTCGTGCACTTAGTGTTTACATTGTATCATGACTCTGACATGTTGAATCGCACAGCAGATTGTGGTTTAGACAAAGGATGTAATGCAAAAAAGCAGTGACAAAGACACCTCTTTGAAAGCTGCAAACAAATTAGGATATCGCTTACAATTTTTGGAATAAATATTATGTTGATGATAAACATGCCATTTCAATTCATGTTCATGTGTTTGTACCAAGAATTTCATGGAATCCGATTGTTTAATCAAATTATTCGATTGCCTTTTTGAGTGAGAACGACTAAAAGTTGGCATTTAGAGCATTGTTATTTCTTTGGATCACATTACTGACACGTATACTTTAGGAGTATTGAGTTGTTCGGATTATTTTAACGCTTATAAAAAAAAGACAGCAAGACATAGACTAATGATGGACAACCCTACTACATTATATTACAAGTTTTCGCAAAATGGCTCACAAAAGAAAACATTCCCGGTGGATAATTCGTTGTTTACACAGTTATCAAGCCAAGACAGTTGATATATTGCGATGTTGCTCAAATGGATGGCTAGATTCACCGAAATGCCGTCGTTTTTTGCGGCAATAAAGGGCTGCAGGAAAGGGCAAGCGTGTCGTAAAAAAAAAGTACATGAAAAGATAATTAGGTTTTCAATTATCCTTTGCGGATGAGCAGCAACAGCTGTAAGTTCACAATGCCAGGCACTGACGGGGCCGGCCGGAACTGATTGTGTAACAGCGACTTTATGTATAGGCCTGATTGGGTCAAGATTGATGGAATCTCTTCCCTAAAATCAATAGACCTTTAGGATATCATGCTGCTACCATTTCAGTCATGTTCCCTGTTATGTATCCAATCACAGTACTGGATAATAATTTTGTGTGCACAAAGGACCAGACTATTATTCCTTCAAGCCTCGCCTTGGTTGCGTTGATTTGAATGGGAAAAATCCAAATGGCCGCAACATGATAATGGTCTATACACTTTATTCACGAGTCGGCCATTTCAGATTAAAAGCGAGGCAAACATTTCATTTTTGGAACTTGCGAGTAGAAATGAAAACAACAAAACAAAAGTTCATTACAAATTAATACCGGTCTGCTCTGATGAATAATTTAAAAGTTGTGATTAAACATACCCTATTGTTTTAACCCACATTTAAAACAAAATTGAAAGTGAGGCTTGGCATGCACTCCAATCATAAACTAGTCTGGCACCAATCCATTCAACAGTTCACAATTTGTACAATAGATTCAGGGAACACGATCGAAAATGGCTTCCTCGAGAATAAGGTATATTCCAGATTTCAGAGTCCTGATTTTGTTTTTGCTTTTTTTTTTAATGCAAAGGTACAAAGAAATATTTCGTGTCAAGCAAACTCTTTGTAAATGAAAATTGGGGTGTCCCACATATTGCAACATTTCTACAAAATGTAAGGAATATTTCTGGCGTACGAAAGTGTTTGAAAGCGAAAGTAATATCAATTTGTATACATAAAACTGTGGCATTTAATTGCCAATCCCCCTTTTCCTGTTTGGCCATCTACACGGCCTATGCCTATATAATAAGGCCAAAAAAAATAATAGTTCTGCTTCCGGTTACCCTACCTACCCTATTTGGACAGCCTCACTCTATTTTTTTTTGGGGGGGGGGGGAAATGAGGGAAAAAATCCGAAAAGCATCAATTACTACCTTTAACCATTGACTACACGCAGATCCCTCCATACAATAGTATACAAATAACGAATGTTTGTGAGTGCGATGGTAAGAATAATTTCATGAGGTGACAGATTGAATGTTCTATTCCACGAGGCGAAGCCGAGTGGAATAGAACATTCAATCTGTCACCGAATGAAATTATTCTTTCCATCGCACGAACGTAAAACATTCGTTATTTGTTTTATACAACACCTGAATAAGTTCTAGATTGAATGTTCTATTTCTCGTCATTTGATTGGTAAATTATAAACTACAATTGATTTTGATTTTAAAGATGTTGAACTACCCCTTCACGAAAATGTTTGAACCCAAGCTGTAGCGCTGGCTCTTTGGAACAATACGCGCTACGCTGAACGCGCACACCAGCATGCATTTTGCACGCAAATACCGCGTCATGGAACAAGCGCAAAGTGAAACGGTATAACGCATGGGTATAACGCATGGTCGCACCGTGCATTATACCGAATAATACTATGTCACGTGATCTACAATTCACCAATCAGATGACAGGGATTTATTCAGGTGTTGTATAATACACAACAGATTTGCCAACCTACCTACGATATTTTCAAATGCCATGTACTCGGAAGCAGAACTATTTGTTATTGGCCAAAATATATTACTGCCCTCATTTTCAGGCTGGACTTTGAAAAGCCCGTCAAGCCTTGCTGAGATCGAATACTCCTTAATACTACAGGGATTATTCTAAGGGCAATATAATAGATTGGATGCATTACATGGAGAGGTTACTGTTTGCCTAAGCGCAGCTAAAATAACTTGGTTGTACCAATTGGAAAAAGTGAATGAGGAAATCCGAGATACATTGGTATTTGCTATAAAACAAAACAATTATTCATTTCACTACCATTAAGTCCTACTTCGTTATAATTACTTTTGTTGGGGGCACTTATTTTGCCGTAGGTTTTCTCTTTTTTGAGTGCCCTGCAAATTCTATTTTTTAGGGCTGTGTTAGGAAAGAATGTAGTGTCCACACGCCACTTCTTTGGTTGTATACAAAGTCTATGGAGAGTCGAGTGCATTTTCAGAGTATCTTCCAACAAAATTGGAAATGTTTCTCAGTCCCAGATTCATGTCTTTTTCTACATGTTTACAATGACTGACCTTCAGTGAGTTAATATATTTTTTAAAAAGTGGAGTCATGATGCAACATTCTTTTCCTGCAACCTACTTTCCCTAAATTTGCCAATTAATCATACCACTTTAAACTATGGCTGTCGTGTTTTGTTTTTCGTGGAAATTGCCTATCACAAAATATGTAAATGATTTCGAAGCCAGTGATGAAGGTAAAATCGGTGACGAAGCCGGATTTTCAAAAACATCCAATAAAAGAGTAGAATGAAACTACATTATTATAATTTTAATGAAGAGAGTTTCCATGGTGTCTAGGCACTGCGCATGTGCCGATTTCAGAATGATTCACATTAATATACATGTAAGCTAGTTGGCCTATCTAAAAAAAAAATCGCACAGTTCGACTGCACGTTGTCGGACTACACATATTTGGACAGTACAACAGCTTGCATAAGAAATGTTATAATCATAAGGTGGATTTAAGTTCTGATAAAACGTATCAGTAACTACAATTATTTTATTTTTTTAAATCACCCACTTTTTTTCCCTGTAGAAATCAGTTCAAAACACCATGGTGTCGGACGTACTTAGACATATTGATATTTTCAGCTTAACCGTTGAACATTGTTAGAAATAAACTATATTTCAATAAAATACAGATATCAAGCTTCAAAATGATATACATGTTTCATTTGTGACATTTGGATTTTTTTAGAGTTTTAACATGCTTTATATAATCCGAGGAATTGCCTAAATATATGTAAACAATATTCATGTAAAATGGAATGTATTTCTGACCGTCTGGCTGAATGATTCAAAAGATTTTTCTTTTAATATGGCGGCTTCAATCATTTCTATTTGCACTACAGCAACATATCTATACCAATATACACTTTCATTCCGAACAATCAAATAATACGAGTAATCATGATTGTTTTGAAGGGAAATTACACTAATAAGCCGGTTTATGTGTTATTTCGTCATCCTTCTTACGGTTTCACTCTTGCCTCGATGCAAAAGGTAACCAACACAATGTAAGGTATTTTTGTGCAAGTGCGTGCAAGGACGAAAACAGCAAATTTTTAAATCGTGGCTCCGTAGTAGCATGTATTACTGTTTGGCCACACTCTGACAAAAGGGTTTTAAAAAAGACTTGGTTTGAAAATTGTCTGTAAGATTCATTCCTGAAATAACGAATCAACACTAGGCCTAGTATACAATGCCACATTCCGCACGGCCAAACCTTTTCAACGAAAATCAGGCCGATACCTGACAAGAATTGGATATCTCTCATACCAATGTGAGTGGTCACTTACCTTTAAAAAATGTGTCCGCTAGCTTGTGTAGGCCTATGTAGTCAATGTCCAGGCCTATACTCGGGCCTTTATACGAGGTCCTGTGGGCTACATCCCATCAGTTTCTACGGCAACGAGACTGTGAACATCAGGAGTTAAAATCGCAAATGGGTAAATTAAGGAGGATGAATTACAAAGTCGTAAACGAGTGAAGCTTAAAATGCCTGACGAAGAAAGGTAGACCACTGCATGAACTCGCAACTGCCGAGGCTGTCGTTTTCATCTATCTCTCTCCAATCTGCAAAACAAGGCAGATCCGCATATGACGGTTTTCCGCTAACCATACGGTCGTACTCTCACGTAGACCACGTCTAAACAGGCGGGCAAAATGCATTCCCGCCCGTTTTTATTGCAGACGAGATGAGGCGTGCGCGATACAACGACGATAACATCTATGGCAACAGAGCAGACGGTGGAAAAAGAAACGCCAAACAAAATTGCATTGCTGGTAGCCGTGTCTGGTTTACGCGTCTCCATCGAATGGGAACCATTGATATTATGCACCTGGCCAGAACAATGCGCGCATTCCGTGCTTGGCCGCCGCTGTTGCATGTGCCCACAGTTCGATTATAATCATGTGCGTCGTTTATGGGGAATCGAAATTATGCCTATAAACATCTGCTGGAAGCATAATAGCGCATACATGAATAATGTGCGATCTAGGGTGGTTGAAGGCTTTCTGAAGTTAGCATATTAAATTAGCGAGACCGTTCGTCTCTTTTGAACGAACGGCCCTTTGTACAAAAAAAATGATGTAATTTGTTATCAAACATTTTCTTGGGATACCCTAGTCACTCTTCAATTCGAATTTGATGTAAACTTAGCATTAGAAAACGCGCAAGACTACACCAAACCTTTTATATTATTGCACTAGATCACCCCCACTTTTTATTTTTTATATATATATATTTTTTATAAAGAAAACAGTCAATTTAACAGTGTATAACTCACAGATTCGTGTGCCCGTTGTACAGAGAAACGTACGTTAGGTTACCTCAGTTCAGGCCTATTATCTTCTCACAAGTTTGTATTGAAGCCAGGGCAATTTTCACCGTAAATTACTTCGAAAGCACGGGAAAAGGGAGTATAATTATAAAAAAATATATATATAATATAAAATTAATTTGCCCAAAGAAAGTTGCACGCAAGTATTATTATCATATCCCTTATGTTGCCCTTGCTCTTTTCATTGAGAGAAAGCCGAGCCCTCCGATCAAATTGGAAAATCGATTCTTCGATGTTGACATTTCGAGATGGAGGCACGCGTGCACTGGCGGTGCAGACAAGGTGTACCTGGGAACGAGGTCTGAATAAGCGAGTTCCAAAATAGTCTGGTAAACAGCAAGATTCGAAATTTTTTGGGGGTTAACTGTGGCAGATAAATGCACACAAGGCTGGGGGGGGGGGGCGTGGTAACCAAATCTGCATTCTGTGCAATTTTTTGTGCAATCGAAAAGAGGTAGATGGCACTTCCGTTCGCACAAAAGTTTTGACACAAAGACACCTAAAGACACTTCGCTGTCCAAAGGTTTTTGCAAAATGTTCTACTTCAGAACACGATGATTTCTTCAATTCTGCTGGTACCCCGGTATGCTTTTGCACGCATACCATGAATTTTTTTATCCCGAAAGAAAAATCGGCAAATCTTGATGTGCACATATAATACCGAAATGGATTATTCAATTCAAACCACACTGAGACCTTACGCGTAAAATACACAAGGGGAATAATAGCTTAACTGGAGTTAACTGCTGTACAATGTACATAAAGTGCATTGTATCGTTCTGAATTAGTGTTTCTCAACGGCGTTTCCGGAATTGAGCGCAGCCTTTGGGTGTAGTACGGTCCCTGCATTTCCAAAAATTCCCTGCATTTCTCGTCAAATTTTACAGCATTATACTGTAATACAATAAGGAAATGATTGATGCTCTTGGCAATAAAACTCATGAGCGAGTGGAAAACACATTTTGGGACATCATTGCCAACTGTAAAGTCAATTCGCTTCAAATTCGCTTAAAGACAAACATGGCCATTCCACACAAACAACAATGTGTACCGGTGAACGACAACCAAAAAAGAAACGGCGACAAGACGAAATGGCTTATGTTTTTATTGCAAAATAAAAATTTATTCGCTTAAAGGCAATCGTGTGACAAACACGATTATAGCAAAAAGTCCCCCAAACAAATGTAGGAAAGCCGATTGTGTACAACTAAATCAAATCCGTTGCTGACGAAAACTTAGAGTAAACCTCCTACAATTGTCAATTAAAAAAACAAACAAGTTTTGCATTTCTAACAAGCATCACTAATGCCTCAATTTAAACAAAAAATGTAAACTCCTAGTCTTGCAACCAGTCGTACTGTTTTTAAACCTGCACTATAAAGCGACACCGTTATAAGTCCCTTTGATTGGACAGAACTAATGACGTCACTCAGATCGCCATAACTTTCGACCAATCACATACAAAAAGAACATGTTATTCAAACGAATGGTAGAAACAGTTCAGCCAATTACAAAAAAGATATCGCCAAACATTTGAATAATACATTTACGATTGTCGCATTTTTATAATATGTTTGTCAAAACACTAGTGCAAGAAAATCTAATTGAAATCTACGACGAGCATGGAAAAACAAAATTAGGTATTTTTTTTTGAAAAAGTGCTACTAAACAAGAAAATTTAATGGTAAACTTAAATCTCGCTCACATTGTTTTATATTTTAAAAAAATGCTACAAATCGTTTAAATTTTAAGGATGCCTCCTTCCAACGCAAACTGAATCAAATCAAATGCAAACATATCTAGAAAACTACGCATTTAAATAAAAACGCCTCGAAAGAAGTCTAACTCACGTTATTTTATGTTTTCTTTCGGGTCTCTATTTTCTACTGCAAAATAGAATGCGTTGATTTCTAACAGTTTTTATGATAATTGTCGGTTTCTCTTCACGCCAAATAACCCATTTCACGTTTAAGTAATAATCATATGCAAATGAGAATCATCGACATTTTTTTTGTTGAAAGACGAAACGTGACATGACGCCCACAATGACACGGCAAAGAGAAATGTACGGCCATATGGATGGCAGGGGTTCGATTCCCAACAATGTATCACATATTGTCTTGGTCCGTGATGCTAACTGTAAAACTGTTTGATAATTTGCTAAGTTTGGCAAATTTGGAACAGATTTTGAAAGATTGACATCAGCAATTGCTCGAACCAGTATAATATAAGACGGTCAATGAAATCGAATGCGAGTTATTACAAAATTACTTCTTTTATCCGAAGAGCACATTCAAACGACCATCAAGTATTATACTATTACATACAGTTAATGTGATTTTTTTGTTACTCAAGCTAATATACGAATGCCAGTCATTGATGCAAGAGTAGTAATGTCAAGTTAGCTAATTCCTTCAAGGATTGTTTCTTATTAACCCGGTTAAGTGACCTGTGTAACCCGTCCAATAGGGAGCCTCTCGATGAGTTAATTCAACTGGTTTATATTAAACCCCTCCTGGTTAGTGATTACTAACCACAGCTTATTCGTTTGAACGACATAATCTACTCTGTGAACCATTAACCTGGAACGCTTAGTACACTATACATTTTTTTTTATACACTATATGATACGAAAGACTGATGCAAAAAGAAAACAAAAATTGAATTTTCAAAGCTACATCTAGTTTCTTATTACTTGCTTGCTTTAATAAAAAAAAAAAAGGAAGCATTTCGTAGTTAAAATAACGCTGCTTATCATGGTTAACACTGGTTTTGCGATTACTAAATGCATGATTTAGTTACTGTGTGTTACATCCTGGGTTTGACAGGTAATTTCCTATGATCGCTGATCCCCAAAAGCCATCCAGGAAAAACCTGTCAATCCAAAAACGAACCACGACACAATGTTCATGATTTTGATTGGATGTGTCCCCAACATCCACACAAAATCACAAATTTAGGCTTTTTTTTTAAAAACACGTTCTTCAAGTTAAATGCAGGCGCAGAACAGGTCCCCACATATTCAGTGCCTGCAAATAAAATGCAAACCGGGTATAGTGTTAAAATAATCAACACAAACAAATAAATGGAATTTTTTTTTTGAATGATTGGAATATATGCTGAATCGGTAGTTAGATTAACAGTTGGTTACCTGTCAGAAAAACAACTGGTCCCCACAAGTTGTTTTCGCTTCCAGTACCAAACCAAACCGTGTTGAAATCAAACATAAGAAACTGGTCCCCATTCAAGTTCCTCATGTAAGAACAACACAGTTAAAGTTACGGCATATTACAAGGAATATCCGTTTGTTTCACAAATAATACAGGACTTCTCCCCAAAAGTTTGTATTATTCAGAATAAAAGGATAAACTTAGTTTCTTTCCAAACTCAGCATATAAAAAGGAATTAATTTCAAAATTCACTTGTCTACACTACATGTATATTATGGATTGTTTGTATTTTGTTTTTACTTCACGTATACAACTACAAGATTACTACACTGTACTAGTAAATTATGTTATTTTTTTAACAATTTTTTTACATGTAATTTCAAGCAATAAAGTCTATGCTGTCTTTTGCGACCATTTCCACTCAAAAATATATAAAAAAAGATCCCACACACCAATTTAAGAAATGGCATTTACTTGACAAAAACAAAATAATCCTGTCGTTTGACGACGTCTGCGCCACTGTTATTAGAAAAAAAAATCTAGTCTACATGAAAATTAAACAATGTCAGATCGTGGCCACATACACTTGACCATAATCTACATCAACTTAACGAGCAAATCCATTTTTTTTGGTAGGGGTGGTTACTTTGGCACAATCCCCAATTCAGGGGCAGCACATTTCTCCACAATCTTGACACTTAATCACTTCATGTGATTTTAAGTTTTTTTTTTTTTATAGTTTTCAAATCCAACTGCGTGGATCTGTCACATGATTGGTACATCTTGACACAATCGATGGTTACACTGTCACAATTGGTAGACTGTCGTTATGGGGTATGACAACCCCAAACTATTAAGACCACATTGGCTATTTCAGTTGGACATCTTTCAAAACAAAACATCCACAGTCACCAATCCACAACTATTTCATGTATACTTTTTTTTTTCAATAAACACTGCATAAACTCATATCTAGTAAGTAACTGACTTTGTCTCACCTACAGATACAAAAATATGATCAAATATAGAAAAAAAAGACAGGAATAATAAATCACATCCTACCGATATATACAGATATGAAAGCAAAACAATATTTTCTACACAGGATTTCAATCAAAATGTTTTCTAAGACTATCATTCAGAGAAAAATTCAACGTTTACTTTAACATCTTCTTCATTTCAACAAGTAACTTTTAGAGGAAGACAGTACATTAATTTTGACAATTTTCCCAAGAGCGGCAAAAACAAAGAGACAGAAAAAGTGTTTAGGCAAGGACATCAAACAGGCACAGAATTCACCAAGACAAGTACATCCCTTCAGATAACTTGCCGCGGTAATTTCTGTAGCTAAATTTAATGTCCTGCAGAAGTTTTAGTAGCACTGGAAATAATTCCTCATAGAGAACTCCAGCAGGTCGTTTTTTTTTTAATGAACTATGAAATTCTTAAATTCTAAGATATAAATGTCCATAGGGTTTTCCATTTACAGGGCACCCTTTAACATGTAATAAAGCATCTAAGAACTGTTTTCCAGTGGATTATTAATGTCTTGTCTCTTTTACTCTTTCAGTGCAAGCTCAAGGGTGATTGTCTAGATTTGGTGTCAGAAGTGGGATCAGGCTCTCTAACGCCAGGCCCCGGTTTTGGGCTTGGGCGATGTCTTGGTCGTGGAGGTTGTGGTCGTGGTCTTGCTAGTGGGCTTGCTCAGCCGTGCGTAGACGGACGAGGCAGAGGAGGCGGGCCTGGTGACGGTGCGCTCCTCATCGCGCAAGGTGCGCACCGTGACCTCGCCACGCATGCTGCTTCCCCTGGGCTTGGTCTGCACGTCCACTGTGGAGTATGTGCCCAGCACGTTAGTGGAAGTGGAGTAGCCCGAGGCCCCAGGACGACCTGTACCCATTCCTATCACGAGACAAAACAAACCAGAAATATTGAGTTAGTCACAATAACTCATAAAATCCTTACTTCAAAATTAAAAAATAATAGCAGTTAGGCAGAATGCGGCTATAACAAACACCATGATTCTGAACACACTGTACTATAACGATCTTTCAGCATTGCCTGCTGAAAATTGTAATAACAACCACCCATCTACCAAACAATCTGTTTGTTCACGCCATTGTGTTTGCTACAGGACAATGTAGGAAGTTCTACAGTGTCGTTTCTAACCATCTACATTGTGTTTGGGGTAGGGTTGACAACTGAGCAAATCTGTTTTTTTCCCCAAAAATTCACGGTTTTTGCACCACTGTGAAAATTTAAATCTCTCATGGCTTTCTGCAATATTAATTTCTTCCTGCAATGACTGTTTTGATCACAAATTAAATTATGAACAGACTTGCTCATTCAAACTTATGGGCCTCTAATAGTATAACATCTTCTAACATGCAGGGCTTTGTTTTATTTGGACTCTGTAAGTGCATCAAGTCCAAACATGCAGACACAACAAGGCAGCAGGCTTTTATAAATCTCAAGTACAAAAAAATATAAATATCTGGATAAAAACTTTGGACGTATCACATTCATAAAATACAGGGCGAGTAAAACAAAGGAAACCCAAATGGCAGGACCATTTTCTTAATAAAGTTCTGCATGTAGCACTTTCGAAATCTGGGATGGGAAAGCCCATTTAATAAGCTCTCTTTTAGTACAAGAATCATTCAAATCACTCATGTACTTTTCAAGTTCCCAAATCCTAGATCTATGTCAGATGTACCAGGGACAGGGAAACAAAAGTGGACTCCAAATTTTATAGAAAGGTCAAACATGTAAATGCATAGTTTTTCCCATGACATGCATAACAGAGGAGTCAGAAAAACCAGGAATACGTATTATACATAATAGTAATATAATGAATCTAGTACAAAAGTCAAAGGAACTGTATGCAAATTTAGTATCGACTTGGAAATTTATTGAAATTGTACTCCTATGCTTTTGCACATGTAACCAATAGCCAAAACACAATTCCTTAACGTGCCGTCATTTAAAAAAAAAAACCTTTTTAGTTTCCATTCTACAGTATATCCTATGCCCCTAGTCGCGTATTCCCGTAGGTATTCAAACACACATCTCAGCCAATTTGCTCTTCAACATTTGCCTGGCCTGGACCTATTGTTTGCCCGTCCATCAGCGCCTGGGGAATTTTTTATTAGACGTCTTATTTGGACAAATTGAATGCATTAGGGATCTCATTTCAGGCTCATAATGAAGTTGGGAACGCATGGCCTCGCATACATATGTTAAATTTCAGTGATGTTTGTTCGAGTAAATAACACCGAAATGCAAAGTGCACTATATCCTCTTAAAAATAATAAACAGAATTTGTGTATGTTTGTACACCTACTCCTGCCTACTCCTATTGTTGTTAATATCGTAGAGCTTCAGAAATCTAAAAAAAAAAATAATTGGCTAGACTGCTCACATCTCAATTTAGCAACGACTACCCAAAATTATAATAAAAATAATACTGCCTTGAAGTCTGCAATATTTTATGAGGAATGCTTCATTTTGTCGGACAACGCAAATCTGATTCATGTACTAAATCACTAGTCCGTTGTACTCAAGCCCATTTCGTAATTTGGTAAGAGACACTACACATAGCCTTTTGTTATACTTCCAAGAAGACACTTCAGAAATCTAAAGAAAAAAAAAATTGGCTAGACTGCTCAGATCCCAATCTAGCAAGGACTACCCAGATTATAATAAAAATAAACCTGCCTTGAAGTCTGTAATATTTTATAAGGAATGCTTCATTTTGTCAGACAAAATCACTAGTTCGTTGTACTCAAGTCTGTTTCATAATCTGGCAAGAGACACTTCACAAAACCATTTGTTATACTTCCAAGTATAACATTGCTATCCAATTTAAAATTATATTACTACTATCCTTGAAGTCATGTCTGTCATAACCACGACCTCCTGCAGCAGGAAGAATTTTAAATACAATCCATGCTCCAAAATTTCTGGAATATTATTTAGCCAACCAAAACAACACCAGAGATAAAACCCAATATCTAGCAAATTAAATATCTCTCTTTAGTACAGATATGGGCAAGGAATATTTCTTATCTGAATCTGCCATTCTTATAAATATATTATATCTGAATATTTAATCTATAGACAAAGTTCTTATCCCTATCTCTGGCAACAGAATCTGAAGCAAAAAATCTTTTCAACTTAACATTTCTATAGAGAAAAACCGTCAATGTCACCATTATCAATGCCTGACTGAAATGAAAAAAGAAAAAAAAAAAAAAAGAAGAGACGAATGGCCGATGCATAATGCATGTCTCTTTTGGCAGTCGACCAATTTAACACGACTTTATTGTGTTTGTTCTGTGTCCTATCAAAAGTAATTTCATTTTGATGCAGTTTAATCAAATCTCCATCCTTGGGGGCCCGGGCCTATCGCTCGCTGGCCGTCCACAGACCTCGATGCAAATCAAGTTATATTGCCACTGCCGAGAACTGTACAGTGATTTGCACGATCCAAAAAATAAATTCTATCCCCTCCCCCCCCCCCAAAAAAAATAAATAAGTAAAATACGAAGGAATTTGAAATTAAACACGGAACCTCCTGGGCTAGGTCAATGATTAATAAACTGATTTGCTAACTATTTCCATTTGGTTGTATGATTAACAACTCCCGGAGAACTATTTTTAAAAAACGACTGATACGAATAAAAAAAACATCACATTTCAAATTCACATGTACTATGTTTTGCTTGATTTAAATGTACGTCTGGTTTAAATTACTTTGGATGGTTTTTTCATTTTTTTTTCTCAATTAGAATCAATATTGGAAATACCTTATCACTATCGGCATGAATAATTCTTCATAGCTTCGTAATGTGAGATAACAAAGGGAAAAAAATGGAATAAAATAAATTTAAAAAGGAAAAAAGGAATAAAGACCAATTATCTAAGCACAAATGTCCCTATTGGCTGATACAAACAATAAAATAATATCAATTCGTGCGACGCATCATCGTAGAGAGCTGATGCAGCCCAGCAGGCCAATTGCCATGGCAACAAAGTGGGGGAGATTGTGGCACTGACAGAAGCCATCTATTCAGCGAGGCTGGACAACCCACGACGGAAGGTTGAGGAAGCCTTGATATCTATTCAACTCCAGACTCGCGTGGGGCAGATAAAGCCTAATGGCTTAAAAGCATTTACAGATACTCCGACATCTTCAAGAGAATTTGTTGATACGTGGAGGACGTAGAAGAATCTTAATGTGCTTGATTTTTTTTTCCTCCCTTAATACATCCCTTGAGGTCTTGACTTTTGTGCCAAAAGGCAGAAGTGAAGGAGGCTTAAAAAATGACATAAAGTAGACGGAAAATAAAAATCTACAGTGTATGGGGAAAAAAATGAAATACATTCTTTGACTTTGCTAAATAAACTTGACTAACGAAACTGAATTCAATAAAAACAATTTTGCTTGTGAAAACTATTTAAGTAAATAAATTTAGAGGGACGACAGGGAACATAAAGTTTTTCCCAAGCAAAACATCTCACAGACAAACTGATACGAAAGGGCTGGGACTACACACTTCATCAACAACTACAACACGTTGCTAGCTGCTCTCACCATCAATTAAGCAAACCACGTGAAACAGGTGTTTCCAATATGCAGGAATATAAGCCTGCCTAAGGTCAACCTGCGATTTGCTTGCGTCGTGATGGAACTAGCCTTGGCTAAGGTGATCAATCAGTTGGCGAGGAAAGAATGTTCGTTCTTTGCCAGCTGATTTGTATATTGTAGTTACATCAGGTTGCTGTTTGCGCTTCGTACAGCGCATACAATGTACATACTGAAATTTTTATCCTTGTGGAGACATTTCTTTGTTCTCGTGTAGTAAAGTTTTCGAGTTTGAAAGTGTAGTTTCAAAATGCTCTTATTTTAACCAGAATTAATTTCCTTGGCTGAAATTCGGACTTATCCCTTTTCTAAAACTCTTCCATTTGCGACAGATTAACCCACCTTGGAAATTCCTAGATTTTGAGTAAAATCCATATATCTATTTCGTGAAAACCTTGTGGAGACGTATTCATCTATAGAAATTGCCCTGTGGAGACGTATACAATCTTTTTGTTCCCTATTGTGTGCATGTCTCCAGAGGGCACGGTGTATCAGATCATACATACGGCTAGTGTTTATGTTTTAAGGGGCCAGATACCATCATAGAAACTATTGACGAACGCCTTGACCAAGGCTAGTTCCGTCGTTGCGCAGGCATTTCGCAGGTCGACCTGAGGCCAGCTTAACAACAGAATCATTCAAATGTTGGAACTGGGAACGGAGGGTTCAGTGAAAGTTTCAAACGAAGGATTAGGAATCCAATTTGAGTTTGTGACAAATACATTTCGGGGCGGGGAGGGGGGGGGGGGGGCATGATGCACACCGAACAATACAAACCAGGCAGATTATATCTAATAATGGGATTTTACAAACAATCTAGTCAAAATCTAATCGAAAGAAAGTATGGATTAAAAACAGGCGCTAGAAGTAAATTTGCAGCATATACATACTTTGCAAATAATCCTAGTGGCGCATTCCACCTCTTTTGGCGGCTTTTTGGGACGAAACTGAACAACCAAATATTGCGGGTTAATACAAAAGGCCATATATTGTTAAGTGGCTGTTAATCCATGCCATTTTTTCGAATAACAAGATTAAAAGGAAAGAACAGCGTTAGTGAGAAAGCCACAGCGAGCGCGAGTTTTTTTTAGTTGAATCAGTGGGGGATTATTTTAAAGGCACTCTGATCTTACACAGTTCAGACCTCAAATCCTTGTGGTGATAATTACGGTCATCGTTTTTGTCTTTTCAATAAATTAACATCTCGGACATGAGAAACTGATCCAGACCAGAGTGCCCCTTTAATGCAGGAGGAAAGATTGACCCTTCACCCTGTGTGTGCGTGTGTCTTTTAGACAGAGTCCAAGCATAGTGGTGCTTCTTCCTTTAAAGGTGAAAGTGGATCTGGATCCCATGGACAGAAGAAGGTTCAAATAGAGAAAGACAGAGGTACAGACTAATTAAAATGAAGTATTATAGAGGAAAATAAAGGAAAAATGGAATGGCATATGAAATGATAGTATTGGCATACTTAAACCAAGCAAATTATACAAAAGATATTATATCACATGATGATATCATTGTGGTACTATAGAATGAATGTTACTATAAGAGTGAGTATTAGCTGCAAAAAAAATCGGAGATATAGCACAAAAGTATCGCTGAAAGCATCGTGAAGAATTCTTTACTTCATAAAGATGTTTCTGTCACAAAATAGCATCATGTCTTGAAGTATTAATGTGCACGATTGTGGCATGAATTAAAAAAAAAATTGTTATTTTCTGAAAACTGTTATTAAGATAGATGTATCATGGAAAATGCAGCAAATTTGGGCACTTTTGGCTGGATTTTAGAGATTGAAAAGTTCAGTATCGCATAACAGTGGGGAAAAACCAGAGAAAACAACCTCATATGTACACCTGCATCTGGAAATTGCACTGACCCAAAACAGGTGTTACGGAGCCCCTAGTCAATCACAAATCAGGGTTTTCTGATGGCTGGTCTGGGTGTAATTGTTCCCCAAGAATCTAGACACACTTCTAGAACACTTCCTACTACTAATGGTACAACTACACTGATAACAAAAGCTGGCCGCTGCACGTTGAGGACCATGGGGCCAATTGACCTATCGCTGTTTGCGAGTTAGCCATGCCCCTTAGATAACCCTATGGAATGTTTGTACCCCAAGTTTTGTTTGTCTCAGATGTTGCGCGTTCTGCGTCCATTTGTATATCGTGTAATTGGACAATATTTTAAAAGCTGCGTTGACGGATTCTAACGCGATTCTAGTGTGATAGGTCAAGTTTAGGGATCTGTATTACGCACATTCGCTTAGCACAGATAAGTGTGCCTTAGCAACGACAGGTTACCAGCCAAAACATCACACAAAGTATACAGCTGGTGACTGGTTCCCCGCTGGAATTTTCTGAGTGAGAAAATTTGCTTGGCACTATTTTCTACAAAGATGCTCCGTGAAACTTGGCCAAGTAAATGAAAAAAAAGAAAGCCGATCGCAAATAATAGAGTAAAGGCTGCCTCAGAATTACTCGGCTACGGCTAGGGGTAACGCACATGTCTATGGAAAGTGGCTTCAGCCGCTGTGTGATTGCTAGCCGCAGCCATGTAACTGTGGCGCAGCCTTATTCAAGAATCATCATCAATGACGTTATGGTCTTGTTTTTATTTCTTCTACTCACCGGGTGCGGAGTGTGTGTCTCTGGTCGTGCTCTTCCTGATCGTAGGGTCACCGTTCTTGACACCGCTGCTGCTGGAGTAGGCCGAGGTCCTTGTTGTGCTTCTTGGCGATAGGCTGCTTCCTTCTTGCCAGGGCCTTGTCACCTTCCGTTTTTCTTTGATCTGAAACAGAGTTTAAAAAATGTGTATTATTTATTTGGAATAGAAGAACAAGAAGAGTAGGAAAAAAATTGTACAAAAACAAGGATTTTTCTCAACAACAAAAACTAGCTGGGGAGGCTGGCTCATACATATGCCAATGATAAGCAAATATGATGTCACACAACACTTGTGTCAAACTTTACTGGCAGTGAAATGTTGTCAACTTTTGTGCCTCTGGAGCATAACTATTTTGCCTTAAGCCCACAAATTTAAATTATCAACGCTGACGCAATGCGCAGCATCCAGCTGCAAACACCATTCATGGAAACAGATTGTATTACAGTTTATCAAAAACAATCAAAAAGAACCTGGACATTATTGTATTACACTGTATTTATTCTCTGAAAAATCAATAAAACCATAGAGTGCTCGTGCGTTTAGGCAGGGCGGTTTTGGGTGCAGTGACTGGAGGGTTAAAAAGGACTGTTGTTTGTTTGTTTTTACTTGTATTGATATTAAGAACGATATAAAAATAATATCAATTTCAATGCATGAATTGGGAGAACAAGACCACTCAACTAATGACCAGTTTTTTCAGCACAAAAAAACCCACTTAATAAAGCAACATGGGAGTATAACAAGAACATATTGCATAACAAGTCATTTGGGATGTTCAACATAACCATTTGGGCAATTCCATGGTTACTCACGTTACATTTTGGATGTACTTTTGAGTTTCCTTGGGCTGAAATTACCTTACTGAAAAGGTTTAATAACTGTTATCCCCATGGTAGATAGAGTAGACCTAGACCTACCTAAGCACCAAAGATGACATTCAGAAAACTGTGTTATGTATGATAAACAAGACGCACAAAATCGGTTACTCACGTTACATTTTCGTAACAGTTATTAAACCTTTTCAGTAAGGTAATTACAGCCCAAGGAAACTCCAAAGTACATCAAAAATGTAACGTGAGTAACCGTGGAATTGCCCATCTTGATTTATGGGTGTGATGGATAAGATACAAGTCTGAGAATTTCTTCTTCTTTTTTTTGGTGTGCCTACCTTGATGAGTGGTCCGCTGAGGCTGCGGGAACCAGCGCTTCCAGTACTGGACTCAGATGGTGAGCGAGAGCGCCGGCTTCGACTGGACTGGAAGGGCGTCAAGCCTTGGGTCACGCCCTCGGCCAGAATGAACTGCTCGCGCAGCTCCACGTTGGTGCGTCCCTTGGCTAAATACAAACACAAATAATAAATGTATACAATAAACAAAATCTAGACAATGCCTGTTTTTCCTTCAACCTTTTGAGACTTTGTAGATGTAATCATTCAAAGAAATTCGAAATAAACCAAACAAATTAGTCATTGAATAACACAGTTTGTCCTTCATATTTTTTTTGTATCACCAGAAACTGAAGAATCCAATTTTGATGGAATTAAAGAGTAGCAATATGTCAACTTATGGAGAAAAAAAATACTTGAGAGAAATAAAAGTTGATATCCATTACCCTTGGAAGGGGATACAAGGGACTAAAATATTTAAATACGAAGCAAGAAAAGTTGTCAAGCCCAAGCATTAGACCAGCATCTTAAATATGCATTTGAACTATATGTCTCTCTCAAAGATGGCCATTGCTGTAAGAGAACTGCAACTGCGTATTTTACGTAATCAAGTGTGCAGTGTTGAAAATGTTCCAAACACGCGTGCTTGTTGCTCGAAATGTGTTCAAAATACGACGCAGCGGAAGCGTGTAATGTAAGTGAAATTAAAAAGGCTGGCGCACATGGCTGGTCTGTAGAAAATGACGTCATTTGCGAGAGACCTATTTAAGCAAAGTTCAGCCTTTTCTAGGGGCGTTTTGATGAGAGACAATTTTTTTTTTAACTGCGAGCCTCAACTTTACTCCATTATTTTTTATCAGACTCAAAGAGCGTGCGAAAAATCATATTAAAACTGGGGGATTCAGGACTGTTAAGGCACTGGAAAATATTTGGAATGTTCTAAAATTCCTGGATAATATTGTTCACTTAACCATTCTAGGAATTGGTACTAAGTTCCAAAAGAGAAGATCAAGCAGAGAGTAAGACTGCCAGCAGAGTGGTACAGGAGGGAACGTCTTCAAGAAGGGGTAAAGGCAGGGGAACCTCAGAAGGTTGCAGTTACGGGATTCCAAAAAAAACAACCAAACTTTTGCATGCACAATGACCGTTCAGAATCATGCTTACCCCTCACGCCCTTATCGGGCCCAAAGCTTCTTAAAACTTCTTTGTGGGAATTTTCAACAGGATACAAGAAAATGTTAATGAAACAAAAATTGTACTCTTTACCAAAAACTACTGTCAATTGTCAATAAAATGTTGTGAAGACAAAAACGTCTCAGATGAGGTAGCTACCTTATACTGTGTTACAACTAAAGCTGCCTCCTCACAACAGGTGCAAATCGCAAAGTGTTGTTGTTTTAAATTCCATGTTATGACTGGTCTTTAGTATAGCCAACTTCGTCTCCACTCCAAAAATCCTGCCACATTCAAACCAAATTCACCAACTACTGGCTTTGTGCACGAGTATTTTGTCTCTCCATAATGTAATTGGTTGAAGGAGCCCGGAGCACGACTCACACGAGCCTGGTGCCACCGCAGAAAATGCCTGTTGCCAGATTAGTCTATATCAGATACTAGACCAATATTGTACTGGAATGTATCAAGTTGATGGATTAAATTGTTGGAACTTTAACCAAAGCTGGCGTGAAGCCGTGATTTCGTAAATTCCCATGACTATACTTCACAAGAGTAATGGGATGTTCCGGAATTAGCCATAAGCCCTGCCCACTGGTTTGGTGACCATAGCTACCATGGTCACCTGACCAAAACTTGTGACCTAATTGGTCAATGCCCACTGTTTGATTGACAGGAATGGTCCATTGCAACAAGGGGGTGTCATTGCCTTACCTCTGCAAGGATCGTTCTTGACCAGGAATTCGTCCAGTGCCAGCCAGCCGCCGCCCACGCGCACCATGACGGTGCTGCGCAGGATGCGCACCAGGCGCATCTGCTGCGACTCGCCGAAGCGGTATTTGGTCTCGGCGATGCGCTGCACCTTGAACTTCTTGGAGCAGGTGCAGAGGTTGCACTGCCGCTTCACCTGGGGGGAGGGGGGGGGGGAATAATTGGGATGGAGGTTTTGTTAACCATTTAAAAAAGTGTGAGGTATTCTAAAGACCAAAGAAATCCACAATATAAAAATAAAACGTTTTCAAACCAGCCAATGTACAAATTTCTAAGACTGGTTGAAGCCTAAAAATGTACGGCCTTAATAGGCTGTTAAACATACACCTTTTAAATTTCTGAAATGGTCTTTTCATGATGGACAAACTTATGTCACAATTTCTTAAGTTTATTTGATATGCAAGTGGAAAAATAGCAAATATGCCTAAAATCTGTTAAACCTTTATGTACATTCAAAATAGAAGGGCATCGTTTTGTATTTATCATTTCTCAAGGCATGCAGTGTGGTGGGTTATGTAAGGGTCTTTTCCGCAAAGCTGAAGTTTGCGCGCATGTATGCTAAGAATGCACCTCCCCCGCCCCTTGTTAACTGACTTACCTCATCTTCGATCTTCTGAGCGTCAGTCGCTGGGTGGGACTGGCTCTGGCCACTCTCCCTCTCCGGCCACAGCGCGGCGATGAACTCCTTGTAGTCCACGTAGCCGTCGCCGTCCCGGTCAAAGATGTCTACCACGGCGTTCATCTCCAGCTGGTTGGTCGGGAATTCTGTGGAGGAGAAGACAGAGAATTTGAAACCTGGTTTTACTCTTTAAATATGGAATTCAATGTCTCACTGAGTAAATTGTTTTTTACCGTTAGGAATCCCATGCCTACATAAAGCAGGATTGACTAGCCGTGAATGTTAAATTTGATACAGCTTTTGCTTTGGCAGTAGGTGATTGATAAGTTACCTGCTTGCGTCTGTTGATGGAATTTGACAAATCACGGTGCTCAACGCAAATGTGATCTGATTGTTGGTGACTAGCCTGTGTACACAGGCATGGCAGGGAAAGCAAATTAAATTTTGACTGTCTGGGACTGTCAGACTTACTGGAATTGATGATTCCGTCCGAGAACTCCTTGCGAGTCAGCTTGCCGTCACGGTCCAGGTCCAGCTTGCGGAAGAAGTCCATGACGCGAGCCTTCTTGTGGCTCATCCAGCGCACGTAGCGCTGGCGCCAGTCGTCAAAGTTGAAGTTCTTCAGCTTCTTCAGCTGTGGAGGAAAGTAAGAAAAAGTGGGCTGACTTAAAACAATGCCATGCTTGAATTGACGAAAAAAAAGGTTACAAAATATTGGGCCAGTACTGTAAATGCTCCAATTATATGACTAGCTTTTGTGCAGATGCAGAATTGATGTAACTGTGGCTAACCCATAAACTTTAAAAAAATAAATAAAAAAAATTGCTGAAAACTTTTAAACAAAATTTAACAAAAGCAAACACCAACCTCTGCTTGTCTGTCGAGGGCGTCCTGCAGCCTGCGTCTGCGTTCCATGGCCATCAGCCAGACTTGCTTCCACTTGTTGTGCAGGGCGGCCACGCGGGGGTTGCGCGAGGCGTCCGGGCCGGGGCTGGGCTCGCGGCTCATGGGCCGGCTGCCCTTGCCGCGGCGCGAGCGGTCAAGCATTGGGATACCGGCAGGGCCGATGTCCGTGGAGCGGCGGCGCTTGTGGGACTTGGTCAGGCGGTCGACTTCGGACTGCCTGGTGGCCATGTCATCCTCAAATGCCTGGGGAACAGAAGAAAAGTACCGAGTGAAAAGCAAGTCCTCAAAAGGTGAAGGGAATTCTGGGTTTTTAAAATGTTACTTGTGTCTGTGATGGCTTATGTTGTGCTTCGAGTTACAATTCTTGTTCCTTTTGCCATGTCACAGCGTTACATATTTTACTTTTTCTAGCGTTTTGCATTTATTGTCTTCTTTAGCCTCGCTTAGTTTATGTGTTTGGGTGATTTTTGATGTATTTGAAATTTTTTTTTTTTTTTCAAATTTAACATTTAAAAAGTCCTTTCAAGCTAAACATTGTCTTCTCTCTATAGGTTTGCTTCAAGCTTGCGAGCTACAGTGCCATGGTGCTTTTGAGGAATCCTTGGTTTCGTTTACCAGAAAATAAAACTGATGAGTGACTATTTTACCTGGTGTTCCTCCAGCAGCTTGTTGATGCGATCGATGTCGTCGGGAGTGGGCCGGGTGTCCCTCTCCTGCAAGGTGTTCTCCGACTGCTCCAGCCACTTGAGTAGCTTCTCCAGGAGCTCGGCGTTCTCCTGCAGGTTGGTCAGGGCATCCTCCAGCTTGTCCTGTCTCTCCTGGTACCAGTTCATCACCTGTAGAAAGGAAAGTTTGCAATTTTCATCAGGCCTGTTTTGAGGCGAGTAAAAAGATTCTATACACTCTTCTCCACCAAAATTTCAAAGAGGATACTTCTGCACCCCTACCTTCCAAAAAGTGAGGGCAGCTACTCAACAAATAATGTAATTATTTTTCCTTATTTCTCACTAAGATCCACAAATTAATCTGTTTCGCTTTTGAGAAAGATCTTGCTAGGATCCAAACGGCAGAACCTCTACTTTTTTTATTTGTATATTTCAAGAAGTATTCATTATTCACTTTGGTTATGCACAGGTAATAAAGACAATTTCACACATGATTGCAATACGCATAAACAAAATTTGGCATTTCCACATTTTATAAAATAGTGCAAAAATGGGAGCTTTAGCCAGAAAACTATTAAACTTCGGCACAAGAATGCATAGTGGTGACAGGGACCGTTTACAGGAACACCTATCAAATGATGTCAAAGCAAACATTTAGTTTATGGAGATGGAAAGTTGGACTGACCTCTTCCCATCTAGCTTGTAGTACTGTGATCCAGTGTTTGATGACGGTGACAGCGTCTGGGTGGCACTTGGCCAGGATGGCCTCGCCCAGCTGACAAGCCTCGTTCAGCCGTCCCTCGTGGGTGTCGATTCTCAGCTTGAAGTCCTGAGAAAAACAAAAAACATCCAAAAATATAAATTCTCAAAACTTCGTAAAAAATCTCCAAGATGTCATACCAATCGCAACTTTGCAATGCCCTCTTTATGGAAGAGCACGTTCTGATGAGGACCATTTAATAGTCGACTTGGGGTTGATTTGTGACATCACATACACCTGTGCACTGATGGGAACATGCGAATGCCTTTAGTCAAACGATAGTCCAAACGTCATCAAGAAACTTCTTGGTCTGAGCTACCTGCTGTGGATTATAATGCACGCGGCTATTGATAACCAGCGAAGCAAAACTGCCCCAGGCTAAATGGTAGACTAGAGTAGTCCAACTGTCCTGAGTTGGAGTGAAGTCTGTCGAGTGAAGTTGGTCTATCATTAACCGTACTTGTCAATCTAACTTGCTCAAGTTTGTCGCTGCCAATTCAATTTGGCGCTTTGGATAGAATTTGACAGGACATATTACCCTGTGGGCTTCCAGTAGATCTTGGATGATCTCCTTGTCTTCACTCAATGGTCCCTGGAATTTGAGGGTCTGTTCGGCATCGGCGAGCCACTCCAGCAGCATGTGCACCGCCTCGTGGAACTCCTCAGCCTTTGGAAAAAAGAAAGATGAGCAAATTCATAGTCATTTGAGAAGAAAACATATTTCAAGTCAGGTTGGCACAGTGGTACTTTCTTCGCCTTCCACCTCTGTGGCCTGGGTTTGAATCCCATCAAGGCAAACATGTAGAATGGTTTCAGTGCCTGCCTGATAAAAAAAGGCTTTCCATGGAATATCACTATGGGGTATTCCTCCCACCAAACTTAACAATTCTTCAAGGGGATTTTTCAGGATTGTGAGTAACACTTGAAACCTTTGAAAACTGTTGTGAAGTGGTTTCCACTTCACTAACTGCTTAACCGATTAGAACCTGTACTACATTGTATTACATTGTGCTTATTTACTGAAGAATCCATAAAGCCATAGAGCGCTTAGGCGCTTTCAGGCACTAAAGTGAGTAATAGGCAGGGTGGTTTCGGGTGCTACAGTGACTAGAGTGTTCAGGTTATCTTTACAAGACGAACAAGTATCCTCATGGTTCTGAATTTAAAAAATGTGTTCTTATACTGAATTCTCATTATTTATTACATTGATGTTTGAGTGAGATAGATTGAATTTCATAGGTTGAAATAATCAGGGGTTTTAAACCCTCTGCTTCATCTCACGATTCAGCACAAAGAGATTTTAGGCATCGGAGCCCCTTTCAATCTCTTGTCAAGTGCTGCTGTCTAAGTCAATGATAACTAAGGGGGAAAAAACCTAGTGCTGACAACAGACTTAGCCGTAGCTCTGAAAATTCGTTTTGGACATGGCCTATGGCTATGAGGAGAAGTCTGGTGCCTTACCTCCTTCATGGCATCCTCCAGGCGGTCCTGCTTGACCAGACTCAGCTGGCAGACGTTGTCCCACTTGATGCCCAGCTCCTGCACCTTGGACTTGAGGTGAGAGGTGTCCTCGCTGGACTTCTCCATCAGGTCCTTGGCCGACTTGTTGACCGAGCGCACGCTGCTCTTGCGGCTGCCCAGGTCTCGCTGGAAGCTCTGTGGATATAGAAAAAGAAAGCATGCTACATCGTCAAGGAGGAACTTTGTGCAGGAATGCCAAAAACTCACTGCTCAAGGGCTGAAATATTTGCCAAAATTGCAATACACCATACAGACTCACATTGCAATACCACACACTTGTTGCGTATGTCGGCAGTGAGCGTAGCACACTAGCATGGTGATTGTTCGTCATTCAATGTGATTGCGGCGAGTCTATGCAGAAAACCTACCTTTGACCAAACGCGCTCAGTACAAGTCTAACACGCTGATAACACACAGTACATAACCAATTTTCTTATTGGTTTATGAGCTGTATCCATACAAGTTTGTATGACGCCCTCAACAGACCATGCACGAAGCGATTACCATACACCCGTACACATTTTTTTTACCTTGTGAGCTTCCATGAGGTTCATGACAGTGTCGATGTCGCCGTGGACCAGGTTGTTCTCATTCAGTTTGGGTTCCACCTCGTACAGCCAGTCCAGCAAGGCTTGCAGGGCGTCCTTGAACTGGCCGCTGTGCAGCAGGGATTCCTCCAACTTGCGTTGCCTGTGGAACGAAGGACACAAATGAATAAAGACATTCTTAAACCCCAGAAGTCCTTTTTTAATATGTCCTCAGTCTGGGTGCTAGTAATTGTAAAGGACCGGAGTTTGGTTTTGTTCCCAATCATGCAATCAGTCGCGACCCCTGGCAAACCTGGTTGAGCCCCTGCAGTGGTAGAGTGTGCTATCAGCAATTTTATTCAAATCCAGTCTTGGGAACATTGGCAGCCTGACCCAAAAAATTCCAAGCATACCTTACACAGGCTGTATTCAAGCTAAAGTGTGCATTCTAAAGACCAAAGAAATCCACAATACAAAATAAAATGTTTTCAAACCAGCTAAATGTACAAATTTCTAAGACTGCTTGAAGCCTAACAATGTATAGCTGCTTCTGGCTCTCCTAATTCCTCTTCAGAAAGGTGTGACTCCGTTTTCCTACCTGTCGACCGATTTGCCGCAGACGGTATCCCATTTGTCCTTGAGGTCCGTCAGCATGCCATTGATGATCTTGGTATCAGCTGGGTTACTCTTCTCTCGCAGGGAGCGGCCGGCTCGCAGAGTGCCGTCGTAAGTCGGCTGCTTGGATCCCAGAGAGCGCTGGAGCTCCTGTTAATGGAGTAGAACAGTAGATGGTCAAACGTGCTCCAACAGTATTTACGTTTGTTAAATTTATGTATCCATTTTACCTCTGCGCCAAACAGGGATTGACTTGTTCAGTTAAGCTTTGAGATCGCAATAACATAAAAGCATGAAGTACAAAGATTATAAAAGGCAAGTTACCTTGTGTTTCCTGAGTTGAGCTTTGAGGGTCTCAGGGTCGCTACCGATGGATTTGTCCAAGTCCAGTTTGTTCTCGGCTTCATCCAGCCAGTCAAACATCTTCTTGTACTGGTCAGCAAACTGGAAGGCAAAACGATGATCACTTACAACTAACAAGTACAATTCATTCCTCAAAACAGGATATTGCATGATTTTTACAATGTTCATAATAATTCTCTAATGAACAGATTATAACAGTCGATCTTCTGCCAACCTGTGCAAGTAGTCACCCGTAATTGTTTAAAACATAGAACCTATTTATAATCCTCGGAATAATTTAGTACCGCGCGAATCTAGAACACTATTCTAAAACAGGTGTAAAATAGTGTCACAGGTGGTGGACAGAGACCAGCCCCCAATTGTACCTGTTTAGAGCGTTTGAAGCCGGAGTCAAGCTGTCGGCTGCGCTCGTTGCAGCGGTTCTGGACCCTGTCCCAGCGGTTCTGCACGCTGATCAGCAGGTTCTTGATCAGCGTCACGTCCTGCTTCTGGCTGAAGTACTTGAGCTGGGTGCCGGTCCGGTCCAGGTCTTTCATGGTGTCTCGCTTGGCTGCAATGTCCCGAAGGAAGTCCTGTCACGGTAAAAAAAAAATATAGTTTAGTTCAGTTCATTATGAGTAGGGTCAAAGGCAGACAAGCATGCACTATCCGACAGACAGTCAGGGAACCAGGCCAAGATGGCTGCAGATGAGACAATGTACCTTGTGCTCTGCAATCTGCTGGTTGACAGTCTCCAGGATGGTACTTGGAGGCTTGGCAGCATTCATGGTCTTCTCGGCTGTGGTCAGCCAGGTGATGAAGGACTGCAAGGCATCGTGGAATTGCTGGGCCTGCTTCAGGGCATCTTCAAGCTTGGTCTAGAAAAAGAAATAACAGGGAAAATTAAAGACCAAAATTAGTTTTGTGCATCCTTCTATAAAACTGTTTAAAATTTGGGGGGTTGTTACAGTGTTGCACTCGCATGTAGTGGCTAGGTATTCAGAATGAAGGTGTGGACCTGACCTGGGGATCACAGATGTTGGTGTCCCCCAGCTGGACAATTTACAACAATTGCTGCACTCAGGAATGGGCACCTGTTTGTGGGAGCACTTCTTTACACTCAGAGAGAAAAATAAGGTCTTTTAATTTTAATAATCTTTGAAAAGCTTATGATAGCGTTGAATTTTATCGTCAGCTGTACAGGAAGTATAGTTTTCAGATAGATATGGCCCAAGACAAGTGCACGTCATGAAACATCAGGTCACTTTACGATTTAAATCGACAGACAGCCATTTTTGGACTTACCTGTCTCTCTGTGGCTTTCTGCTTGGCATTCTCCCAGTTGTTCTGCAGCTGCGACAGCGTGTGGCCAACACCGCCCTCGCGGTCCGCCTCGGGTCCAGCCTTGCTGCGCAGCCGGCGACCTGTGTCCATCAGGCGGTCGTAGTTCATCTGCTCTCGGGCCATCTGCTTCATTAGGTCCTGAGATGGAAAGAAAAAGCAAGAAAGACATCGCAAGTTGAATTGGATGAAGTATTTTAAGTCTGATCACTTGGAAGGGATACTGCTTCTTAATAAACATTGTCAAATAACCCACAAAGGAAAACCAAATTGTCTCACTGTAAACTTTGCTTTAAATTTGAAGAAAAGGGTTTTTAAGATTTAAAGAAATGTCAGAGAAATTCCTCAAAATACTTATAAATAAGTACACAGTGTAAGCCACATGGTCACTTAGCTCTCAATATTTTTAGTCTAGAATGTGATAGGCCTCTATATGGTGCAATGAATTCTTACACTGTGTTTTTCTAGTTGTTCTCTGGCAGTTTCTGGTAGTCCACCGACTGGCTGGGCCGATGAGAGCTGGCTGTCAAGGTCCTTCAGGTAGTGGAGCAGGCGATTGGCTTCATCTCCAAACAACTTGCTCTGCGATAAACACAACCAAATGAAAAGTTCCAAGTCAGGAAAGAGAAGATGCTCCCAACGCTGAGTATATTGGGGTCGACTGATTGATTCAAATCAACGATAGTGAAAAAAATTCCTATTATCTTCACCCAGTAGTCCCTAACGATGTATATGGATTCATCAGGAAAATAAATACAATGTAATACAATGTATTACAAATCAATACAATGTAATACAATGTAGTCAGGTGTTACTGGGTTACTGCCATACCTCTCCAAGGCTTCCCTCCAGTTCGCGCTGCCGGTCCTCGCTCTTCTTCATCAAGTTGCGCCACTTGACGTTCAGGTCGTCCAGCTTGATCTTGATGACGCTGGCCAACTGGCGGTTGTCGGCCGTGGTAACAAAATTGCGGCCGGCCTGGTTGACCGAGTCCACGCTGGACTGGTGCGACATGATGTCGTTCTGAAGGACCTGTAAGGGGTAACAGCCAAAACGCAGAGTGTGGATTAAAACCAATGAATATCTGCAGGGGTCTTAAGAATGGAGCTCTCCCGACGTCCATATTCAAGTGGGAAATCTTAAACTGTTGATTATGCTCACCTTGTGTTTGGCCAGTTCAATCTCGGCCTGCCTAGGGTCTCCCATGATGGGCTTCTGGTCCTGCATGGCCTGGTCGGCCCGGTCCATCCATCCTATCAGCTCGTCCAGCGTGGAGTCCAGCTGGCCCAGGGCCAGCATGCCAGCCTCCAGCTTGTGCTGTCTGTCGAAGCTGCGCTCTGTCAGGGCCTTCCAGCGCCGGTTCATGTCGCTCAGCGGACCCTGCAGGGCCTCCCGGTTCTCAAAGGTGCACTGGGCCAGGAGCTTGTTGCCAAGCTGGTTGGTGCGGTCCAGGGTGGGGCTCTGCCGGTCCTGATCTTGCTTGAATTTCTGTCAGGAATTCAATCAAAGGGTTTTTTCCTTTAGTTAAAATCTTAAACTAACTCTCTCTTTAATAAGGTTTTTTTCTCCGGACTTTCAGGGAAAACATGATAAAATTCATGGAATCTTGAAGGATTTGCATGGTTATCTCGACAATTTTCAAAACAATGTTGCACGATGGCAAGAAAATACTCCTTACCAGACCCGCCCATCATGAAAAAAAAAAACAGGGTAAGTTCGGTGCCTCACCTTGAGGTCATCTAGTTGATTCTTGATGGTCTGTGGGTCTGCGCCCACGGCCTGCATGGCTTCCAGCTTGTCCTCAGCCTCAGTCATGTACTCATCCATCTTCTTCAATCCGTCCTCGAAGGCCTTGGACAGGTCCGTGGCGTTGCGCAGGTTCTCGTCGCGGTTGCGGTAGGCGGCATTTAGGGCCTCCCAGTTGCGGTTCATGTCGTCGAGGTTCTTCTGGACCTCTGGCTTGTCAGCCTCGCCGACAAGCCGCATCAGCTCCTTGCCGGACTGACGCGTGTTCTCCAGGTCCTGGTTGACGGCATCGACGTCTTCCTTGATGGCCTGTAAGGTTTTTAAAGCGTATCAAAATGGCCTCAGCATAATAAGTATTTTCAATTTGAAAAGATGTGAAGGTTTGTGTGGCCAGCCAAAGAAGAAGAGAAAGTTCACAGAGACACAGCACGCCAATAAATCAATTTTGCGAGTTGTGTCGCTCTGAGCACTTCTGTGTAAACATTTAGTGTGATATTCTCCTATGTTTATCTAGTGACTTCTCCGTTCTGACAATTTTGGAGGAACAAATATACTTTCAATAAGCTATACTATTGGTTCATAATTTGAACAGATCCATCACAAAAATCAGGTAGAGTGGATGCCTAAAATGACATCACTGCAGCAATTTGGAACTTTCACCAAATTATTTTCTAAGGACTTACCTGTAAGACATCCTGTTGGTCTTTGACAGCCTTCTCCTCCACGGCGGGTGGCTCCTGGGTGTTGATGTGGTCCTGGATGTCCTTGATCGTAGCGTTGGTGCTGTTCAGCTCCACCCAGAATCCCTCCGCGGCATTCATGGCTTCCATCAGGTTGCTGGCCCGTTGGTTGGCTGTGCGGACGATCGTCTGCCACTTGTTGCTCAGTTGGTCCAACTTGTCGCGCATCTCTGCAGAGAGTTTGAAAGTTGTCGCTTAAGACTTGAGAAATCTACTTTTATGTGACCCAATCTAGCAAAGTGGGGCACAAGTTGCCAGAGCTACTTTTGAGTTATTGACCTTTTAACAGATTCTTGCACAATTGAAATCAACAGGAACGGTTTACCTATTCATTAAGTATGTTTGTATATCAAGTTGTCAAACTTGATATAAAAAGAATGAAGAGCAATTATGTACTTATTACAGCATCTGAAAAAAGTGAAAAATTGTCCTGGAGAATTATTTTGTGGAATCCGGTCACACATGTGCTACGTTTGAGTGTTTACCATTCTACAGCTAGACCCTTCAAATATCTCCAAATATTTAAACAGTGACCTTTTAACCTTATCTCACCTCTGACATAGGGGTCATCTGCGGATGCTGCGCTGATCATGTCTTGGCCGGCCTTGCGCATGTTGTCCACTGCGTCCATCTGGCTGTCCACCTGGTCTTGCAGCAGCTACAAATCAGAAAAGAAAAAACATGACAAAGAGTGTCTGGAAGGACTAATGGATGCCATCTTGCCGAATGCACGCTGGTATACGTATATATTATATAAATGGTGAATTGCACTTGTGAACCAATGAAGCGTCCTTCACATTTCTCTCTTTTTTTTTTCAGGGACAGAATACATTCAACAGAGGGAGTGTTGATGATAAACTCTAGTGGGGATTGATACATGAGACTGCTGGTGAATGGGTTTTTGCTAACCTGTAGCTTCTTGCGTTGTTTGCGGAGCACCTCCGGATCAGAGGAGATTGACTCTGGCCGGGAGAGCTTCTCAGCGGTGATGTTCAACTGCTCCAGTGTAGAATCCAGATCCTCAATGAACTATTACAGAAAGTGAATATTAATGAAAAATAGTGATCACAACAATTCCTTGTACAAAGCTGCACAAAATACAGTGAATGTGTTTTATGTTTAAGGTGTCAAAATGTTCTTAAAATGTTTTGCTTTCAGCAGCAAGATTTTCTTTTTCTTTCATTCCACTGCGTTGTCCTCATGAAACTTTGGGAGCATTGTATAAAGTAACTGCTCCCTAATTGTTATTCTGAACCAATAATCATTTGCAGTGTATGCAGGGCCCCAATGGAAACCAGTTTTTAACTGTTTGGGCAAACCCTGGGTAAAGAAATGAGTGAAAAGTGATTCTGTGGTCGGGATTGGTGTATAGTTCCTTCAACCTTAATATTTGTGAAAATTTCAATTATGGAACTATACTAACCGAGCTGGTTCGTTGGAGAAGGTCGTAGAGTTTCTCGCCCCGCTTGTCCACGTCCTGCTTGACGTTGTCGTAACGACTGTTGTCGCTCTCCACTTTGGCGTCCAGGGAGCGGGCGCCGGGGCCAGGGCTGATCTTGCTGAGCTCGGGGGCAATCTTGTTCAGCTTGTTGACGTACTGTTGCTTCTCATTGACGGCCTGGCTCATGAGCTGTCAGAATTAAAAATGCAAAGATAGAAGATATATCAACAGAACTATCAGTGACAAGGCTTCATCTGGCCCATTAAGGGGGCAGATTTGCAGCCTGATACTAACGAAGCAGGCGAGTCACCAAATCCTCAAAACTTCTGAACAGCTTAAAATATCCTTGGTGTGGTTTCTAAAGGCGAGTGACATAACATAGGATATTTTTTGCCAATGGTTGGAGCAGTGTCTCAACACCCTTACCCTGTTCTTGTCCACTTCCTTCTTGATCTCTTCAGCGTCCAGTCCCGGCGGTCGCAGGCTCTTTAGCTCCGACTCAATGTCGGTCAGCCAGTTGGCCAGATCGTCGTGGGTCTCGTTGAAGGACAGAGCCAGTGGTAGGGCTTCCTCCAGGACCTCCACGCGGTCGGCACTGGCGTTGGACAGTGTGTCGTATTTCTGCTTGAGCTGCTTGAGCCGGTCATCCAGGCGGCGACGCTGGGCAGGGTCAGCAGTCTGCTGGAGGAGGATCTCGGCGGCGCCGCTGACGTCCTGGACTCGACTCATCTTGGAGTTGATCTCTCGGTCTAAGACCTGCCAAGACAGAAACAGAAGGTGCCACACTTGTTTTAAAGCTGGTCTATCTGATTTTAGCATTGTCGGAAAACAACAGAGGATGGATTGATAAATGTAACTAACAGGACCTGTTGGCAGACACAGAGTCTAGGGGTGCATTCCAGTCACGTAAACATGTTTGAATTCTTTTCTGCAAATGTGCCAATCCCAAATGAAACTATGATATGCAATCGATATACTGTTGTCAAAATGGTGGTGCCCTGTATACCAATCCTACTGTTATTATAGCAGCTTTAACATAGCTAATGACTCGGGAAGACCATTTGCCTTTGTTGCTAATGTTTGCCAATGATGGTGGCGAACAGTCAGACATACTTGGGCAAATGCTGCCAACGTTGACTAATGTAAAAAAGGACCTACTGACTGACCTTAGCTTTCTTGAGCTGTTCCCTGACTCCGTCTGGGTCTACACCCACTGTCTCCCTAGCGCTGTTGTTGAGTGTTCTCTCAGTATCGTTGATCCATGCCAGCAGGTTGTCCATGTTCTGCTCCACCTGTTGCAAACAAAGCACAGATATTTTTTTTAGTGAATCCCCTATTTGTAATTGGCTACATAGTATGTATAAATGATGCCACCAGAACAGAGATATTGACACATTGATAAGTTGCCAACACGCGAATGCAAAGTGAATTTGAGGTCACAATTTAACACTTGTAGCAAACTTTGTTTGCACCAGGTATAAGCTGGTACCAAGTCCAATTCAGCAGAAGGAAACTGCCAGGCCTACCTTCTGTGCCCCTTCCAGCTTGGAGATGAGCCGGTACTCGATGTCCTTAGTTTGAGCGCAGAGTTCATTGAAGCGGGTGTTGGCATCGCTACACTGCTGTCGGATCTCAGCTGCTCCTTGGCCTGGGCTGATAACTATCAGCTTGTCGCCTTTGTTGTTCAAGGCGTCGATGGATGGGCGGTGCTCGTCAATCTCTCGTTGCAGTTTCTAGGAGGAGGGAAGGAAAAGTGTTGAGTATTATATTATACATCCAAGACTCACCAGAACTGTGCTGGGGTTACTCCTTCAACATCCAAGGAGGAGTAAACCCAGAGATGTTTTACAGACAGCTCTGGATCCTGATGTCTGGAACCTGATGTCTGAAACCTGACGTTTGGATACTGACGTTTGGATACTGACGTATGGATCCTGACGTCTGGATCCTGACGTCTGGATCCTGACGTCTGGATCCTGACATCTGGACCCTGACATCTGGACCCTGATGTCTGGATCCTGACGTTTGGATACTGACTTATGGATCCTGACGTCTGGATCCTGACGTCTGGATCCTGATGTCTGGATCCTGATGTCTGGATCCTGACGTCTGGATCCTGACGTCTGGATCCTGACGTCTGGATCCTGATGTCTGGATCCTGATGTCTGGATCCTAATGTCTTACCTCTTGTACAGCCTTCTGCTGTTCGGGGCTGGCCGAGCTGTCAAACCTGCGCAGGTCCTGCTCAGCCTGGGTCAGCCACTTGTCTACGTTGCTCTGGAGTTGGTTGAATTCCTGAGTCAGCGGCACAGCCTGCTGGAGCTGATTGAGGCGATCCTCGCTCTTGGTGCAGACGTCCTCGTAGCGGTTCTGGATAGAATCCAGCTTCTGTTGGACATCGATGATCTCTTTGCCTGTTGAAGAGGAAAACATGACGTGTAAATTGCAGGTCCATTCCATGATTGCTGGACGTGAAGGGCCAGCATACTGGCCTCTGACTGAGTCACCGACTGACTGACTGATTGATTGATTGACTTGGTCGCTGAATATAACTACTGCTCAAAAGTGAGCATGTGATAATGTGTGCTATTTAGCTATGGCAGTTTTCCAGTTTGCATTCCAGTTTTTACTATACTTTCTCTTTATGCATGTGTGCTCTATACTTGTTTGTGACGCTTTGGGGGTGCTCAGGAGTCTTGTGTCAAACTGGAAGGCTGAGAGGAAGTTTCTGACTGACTGACTGATTGATTGATTGATTGATTGACTGAATATAACTACTGCCCAAAACTGAGACTTTCTGGTCCATCGTGTCTAGTCCAACTCCATGATTTACTTCTCAATCACAACTTTCAAGGTTTCAAAGTAAAATCTTTTGTTTTTCAAAGTCTTTTGCTTGAAACTTTTTTGGGCCCATAAGGAACTTACAGGCAACTAAAGCAATTGCTCAAAGACTAAAGCTTAAAAATCCCAGTTTAGAACCAAAAATTGAAAACTTTAGGCTCTTTCAGCCTAGAGTATGATCTGTTTGGTTTTACCTGTGCACTGCTTTAGCAGCTCTTGGCCATCTCGTAGTACTTTGTTGATATCTGGTCGACGACCCTGAATGTTCTCGTCCAGTTGCTGTAATAACGAATTGATTACAAAGAATTTTAAAGAAAAATACACAAAACGGCAAACTCTGCAAATTAAGTGTTGTCTTGGCATCCAGAAATAGTCTTGCTGTTCAAATTTCAATGTTGACACTTGTCAAGTATTGTGGTTCAAATGGTTCCATAAAAAAATGTTAATTTAGAACTACACCCAGTAGTTAGAGAACAAACACAAAACTTATTTAAAAAGTGAATATATTGGAAAAAAATGATCAGGAACTGAATAAAATAGGTAATTGTCAGTGTTAACACTGTTCAGTGTGGGGTTAAATAATGGGGAAATTGGGATAAAACAACATGAATCAGTGTTAATTCAATTCATTCAAACTTTGTCATTACTTAAACACATTAGTTAGACTTTTTAATAAAACTTTATGTAAACAGCAAAATGTACAAATGTATCATGAACTGCTCAGAATACAACCAACTTGTCTCCATTTTAAAATATTTGTCTTGTTTCCAACATTGTTAGTCGTCCCATTGAAATTATTTGAAGATGAAATTTGATGATATTTTTAACTGATGACTTTTGTTACTGGATGGATAATGGTTCATTATATAAATTTTAGGGTCCAAATTGTGACATTTTTCCTATCTAAGTTTACCTTGGTACTTTGTAATTCACCATTCAAATACATCAAGAATGACTTCAAATGATTTTTATAATTGTGGGTTAGGTAGTTGGCTCTTCATAATCACTCTTGGAGGATGACTGCATGAAAGAGTGCATCAGAATTATAAAATATATAATTGCAGATTGAACAGGGACAGGAAAAAAGTGGACCCCACATTGATAGAATGACCAATACAAGTTTAATTACAAGTTTCCCGACGATTTTCATTTGTTTTGCTATTTGATGATAAAGCTTTTGCATACTGGCATATTTGTTTACCCATAGTTGACCCATGCATAAATGGAAGGACTGCCAGTCATACTGGATTATGCATAATCCTAGTTGATGAAAAACCTTAGTTAACTAATGGAGATGAAATGAGGTTAATTAAAAAATTGGTTAATGCTTGTCCCAAGTTTAACTTGGGTTGGGATGAAGAACAAATGAGTTGATATATAATCCAAGTTAAAGATATGTGAACTGGAACAGCCTGCAGGGGTTGACGACTGTACAAGGTAAACCAGTTTGTGTTTAACCAAGATTGAAGAGTCACTGCCTTAAACCAGTGAGAATGGACTGGATTATGAAGGTTAGTTAAACCCGGTTGAGTTACAATCCAACTTGATGAATCACTGCTTGACCAGTGGCGATGAACTGGATTATGAAGGTGAGTTAAACCGGTGAAGTTACAATCCAAGTTGATGAATCACTGCTTAACCAGTGGCGATGAACAGGATTGTTTAGGCGAGTTAAACCGGTTAAGTTACAATCCAAGTTGAAGAATCACTGCTTGACCAGTGGCGATGAATGCGAGTTATGTCAGTTCATGTAACAATCGATCCAAGTTGAAGAATCGTAACCAGGCCAGTGGAGATGAACATGACTTTATCCTGGTTAGGCTAAACCAAAGTTGACATAACTTCCGATGAATCACCTTGAACTTTGTTTATGGGAATGTCAGTGATGATGAACGAAATGCCAGTATTTGAAAGTCGCAATAGCTTTGTTAAAGCATGAAAGATTGTTAACGTCATAGTTTTTTACGCAGGAAAAAAAGCTCAAAATTTTTTACAAAGTTTGACAGATTCATTAACTCTAGGTTATACTACTATTTACATGTAACTAAAGATGATACTAACTGTGTTAAGATAAACTTGAGAGTAACAAATGGGGAAAAGTGTTAAGAATATATGCCTTTTAAGAACAAACAGAAGTGAATCAGTTTTTGACAAGATTGAAAGATGTGCTTGATAAAAATTGCAAACTTTTCTGTGTTCAGAATAACTGTGTAGCACTACAAAATTGAGCAGAATCAAAAAGTGATAAAAACAATTAAGAGAAAATCGGAAATCTGAGGTTATTTCAAACACACTGAGAGATCACCGTTAGTAAAAAAAAACTTGGGGTAAAAAAAAGGCAAAAAATGGTCAAAGGTAAAAGGAATGGGAAACCGCAAGCAACCTCCACCTTCAATGGTTAACTGTTTTGCCCTAGGAATCCACAGTACTATAGATGGTTACCAACCAATCTCAGATCACAAGGAAAAACATGCCAAGGTATTTAAAATGTTTAGCTGAAGTCAAAAACAGAAAAGTGTAGAAATAAACCTCCACCCTCACCGGTGCCCAGAAGTTAAGGGACCAGCTTTGTGAAACGGAAAGACTGAATAAGCAGAAAAAGTCAGGTAGATCTTTAAAGAGAGTTTGCTTGTTTGAAAAAAAGTACATTTGTAGTGTTTCCAACCGTCTTGGTCTGGTAACCTTAGGGTAACCAATGACACTGTAATGGGTTCAGAACAGTGAATTATTGTGCTCAGCTTATTATGGCATACAAAATCCCTAATTAAATAAGGACACTTGCTTTTTAAGATATTTTTTTACATAGAAACACTTCAAATGTACATTTTTAAAGACCATCTAGCCTTAAGCCTGCAAGGAAAGAAGGAAAAGGAATGTCACTAGCAGTTTAAGTCGGACAAAAGCATGTGAGGGGAACCGCAACCAGTAAATCTCTAGTAAAGAACACAGTGCAAAACAGCAGGAATAAGAAGCAAACAGGTTAAAGCAGAAAGGGGGAAAAATTGTGAAGAAGAAAGAAAAATCAAATTCAGCCAACACCAATCACTGACAATCAGAATCTCTCCACACGGTTGGGGAAGAACAACCCGCGAAAACCTCAAAAAAACCCAAAACACCCGGTGGTAGTAGAAGGGGTAGTAGTGGACTACTGTACCCTGTGCTCCTTCAGCTGCTTCTGGGTCTGCTCCGGGTAGATGGAGATAGGCTCCACCTTGGCTAGTTTCCTCTCTGTGTCGGTCAGCCAGCGCAGCAGGGAAGCTTCCCCTTCCCCAAAGACCTGGTTACTGGCCAGGGCGCGGGACAGCTTGCCCTGCTTGTTGGCGGTCTTGTCCTCCAGGGCCTGGAACCGGCTTTCCAGGTTGTCCAGCCTGGTCCGGACAACCTCTTGCTCCACGGGCACGCAGATGTCAAACAGCTCTTCCCCTTTACGTTTGGCTTTCTCCACGTTGGGCGCCTGGCTCTGGACCTCATCGGCCAAAGTCTTTACAAGTTTGCATGGGGGTTCAAGGATATTGCATTTCTTTTTATCAGTACACTATTTGGACGAAATGCTTAGTTTCCGAGGGTGTTGACAAGTAATGCTTACACAACAAAAATCGAGGTCGTCAAAATTTAGAATATCTGCGGTATCTTTCCTGTGTATAGCCAACCCTTACTCCTTAAAGATGATATGATTTTGATGTCAACTCCACCAATAATGCATTTACCCCCTAGCCATCCCAATTGGCGTCACAAAAAAGACCCCCGTCAATCTCTGTGTGCCCATCAATCCAGTCTTGTAGTCAAGTCCATCACAAGTCCTCCAGTCTCGAAGTCAAGTAACAAGCTATTCAAATGAACTATGACAAAGGGATTCCTTTGTTATTGTTCATTCCCTGTAAAGGCTGGTTCGTTCTTGACGCGACTGCAAATTGAATTCGATGTCATAAAACATTCGCTTCGAAATTCGCCCAAGTCGAAATTCGCCCAAGTCAAAATTCGCCCAAGTCGAAATGTGTCCAATTATTGGGAATTTGCATTGCGAAAATACTTGCCATGCTGTCACAACTTTGAGTATGACACCGGACCTTACTCATGACTGGACCTGTGAAAGGGCTTGTGATTTCCTTTTGATCAGACTTGCGATGGACTTGACTTACAGCATTGCATCTAACGTTGCTGGCGTTTTGTACTACAGATTCAATCTCCACCAATCGTCTTACCTGTTGTTCCTGTATCTGTCTCTGTATCTGAGCCTTCTCGGTACTGACGGGCTCCTGCTGGGCCAGGCTTCGCTCTGTCTTGTCCAGCCACTCCACCAGGGGGTCGATCTGCTCGTGGAACCCTTTAGCTGTCTTCTCCGTCTGCTCCAGCTTCTTGCGCCGGTCCCGGACCGAGTCCACCAGGGCCCGCCAGCGCCGCTCTAGGTCTGTCAGCTGTTGCTGGATGCGACTGCGGTCCTGGGGCTCTGAGACACGGGATAGCTGCTCACCCATCTCCTTGAGAGCGTCCACGCTGGGCTCGCGGTCCGTGATTAGGCGGTCCAGAAGCTGTGGAAGGAACACAACACAAAATGAAAGTCTGAAATCACCATCTAATGCATGTTTCCAAAATACACAAATGTAACTAACAAAAAGTTCACAAGCTTACTTGGGTGGGACTTGAACCCACGACTTCCTGCTTACTAGTGCAGACGTCTTACTACTCGACCATGGAGCTTGCCAGAATCGCTTTAACTTCCCCCACCCTTACAAAAATGTATCCCACCTATAACTTTGTTTAAACCTGCCATTTTTTGATGTACCCAAACCCTGAATGAATAAAATATACATGTTCTAGTGAGAATGCTGCATGCGACATACATTGCATTATATTGTGCTAAGCAATACATTTGAGCTTAGTAAGTTCTTTCATTCTTTCCCTCTGTGCTTCGCAGCTACACGCGTCCTGTTCTTGTTTGGTTTTTGGCTTCCTACTTACCAGCTGTTCAGACAGCTGTGCTTTGACCACCTTGTAGTCTGAGGACGGATCCTTCTGGTGAGTGACCAGCTCTTCGGTCTCCCCGATCCAGGACATCAGGCTGTTCAGGGCCTCCTGGAACTTGCCGCATCGGAGCAGTCCCTCGTTCAGCTTGGCCTCCCGGTCAGAGTTCTGTAAACATCAATCCCACAAGGCCAACCAATGATTAAGACTTGTAGAATTCTATTTCATTGACCACAGTTCGCCAATTGTTGGTTGTTTAGTAGTGTTGTCACTAGTTGTAACAATCTCATTGATCAGATATTCCGAGTATGAGACCTGCAAGTGCTAGGGCCGTGCATTCTCGGATAATTTAAGTATTCAATTTTCGGATAATTTAAGTCACTTACGGCAGTCTTCAGCTTGTTCCAGCGGTCGTTCATGGCCTCCAGGTCGGATTCCAGCTTGGTGGTGTTGACCCTAGGGGCTGCACTCTGAATCAGGCTCTGACCCACACGATTGGCCTCACGGATGCGCGTCACCAAAGGATCCACGTAATTCCTGATGTAGGTCTGGAGGCAAAAGGAATGTTATATGTATTAAGAAGATGCTGAAAACTTTTCAAAGACTTCCTATAAAAAAGGGGTGACTGAGACACCAGGCGCCAAAGTTTGGCTTTAAACAGGTTCAGCACTTCAATAAGTTCTTTTGTTAATTTTTCCAAGCTTAATTTATAAGGGCAGAGTCTATTAACTTTAACCCTTCCAGATGCACCACAGTTGGACCTTGTTGCATTTGGCACTTAACCCAAGTGCATAAACTTCCAATTCTGAGACAATGGGAGTTAGTCTCATTGAACAATGCCACAGTTGTATCCTGCTGCAGATGGTGACCACAGACTCTGAGGCAGTTTGGCCTTGGGACTTTTGACGTGTTGGATCTGTCTATACTGGGCAGGCTTCTCACTTTGACAAGTATTGCATGTTAATAGGACCTATATACCATTTGGCAATAATATCTTAAATTTGAACTTGTCAATTTCGCAGCAGATTTTTCAGTTCAATTATTTTCAAGTTTTCCATTACAAGCACACAACTGTCATCTTCCCTACCCTGAATTCCTTCATCTGTTGTTTGACCATCTCCACGTCGGCACCCACAGGTCGCTGGCTGCGTTGCTGGGCCTCGGCCTTCTCCAGGCTATCGTCCACATCCTGGATGATCTGCTGTAGGGTCTTGAGCCTGCTGGCTGTCTTCTCCAGGTCGGCCTGGCGGTTGTTGGTCCGCTCCCTGATCCGGGCCCAACGCTTGTTCAGGTTGTCCAGCTGGTTTTTTTTTTACGAGTGGGAGAAAACGACAACAAATTAGACCGATCTCTTAATTTCATACAGACAACTTGATGACTGAAATTTTGTCAGGGGTAAAAATGGGTGGCTGTGAGGGTGGAGACCAGACTGCACTAATCTCAAGGTGCTGCAGGAAACTGGTCTAATGGCCTGATGAACGGGGGTAATAACAGTGCTTATCATGATACACTACCTGATCTCTGAAGCCATCTGGGTCGGTCATGTAGCCACGGTCGATGATGTCACGGAAGTTCTTGTCAGCACCCAGGAGCGCCTTCTTAATGTCGTCCAGGTCATCATGGAATTTCTGTAAATATTAAAAAGTGATCACAATTTTTCAAACCTGCAGGGTTTTACATAAAAATTTTACCATAGAATTCAAAGGGGAAAAAAACAAGCATTCGTCTTTCAGCTTTCTTAAAAATCTTTGGTTTCTTCATTTAAAAAAATTTGAAACTTTCTAAATGATAAATCTTACATAAGCCAAATGTCCTATGACTCCTACCTGTGTTTCTTCAATCTGTGTGTTGACAGTCGGCGTGTCTCGGCCGACTGGTGAGAAGTTCTCCAGTTTTTCCTCGGACTTTGTCAGACGAGAGCCGACGTCATTCAGCAGTGACTGAAACAAAAAAGTAGTTTCTTTCATTAATTGATGAACAGACTTGAAAAACTATGACTGAAATTCATCCAAACAACAACACTTAAATTTCATCAATTCAACATCAGGGCCCCATTTCTTGGTGGGCTAAGCACAACCTTTCTACTACCACTGCCTCCATCAATTTCATGTCAAATACGCTTAATGTCAAGCAGAAATATTCTGCTGCAAACTGCATAGCTTTGCTGCTAACTGTTAAAGCAGTGCAACCGAATCAACCCTGGTATTTTCAGAAAATCTCAAGCGCTGTACCTGGAATGCTCGGACTTCCTGGTTCCCGGCCTCTAGCTGGTTCCTCCTCTCGCCCACCATGGCCTTCAGTCGGTTGTAGCGGCGGTCCACTCCGTCCACCTCGTCCACGATCTGACCCGTGTCGGCTTGTGAGGGCGCCGCGGCCATCAGGTCGTTGCTGTGGTCCTTGACCACCACAATAGTCTTCTCGATGTTGTCCATTTCGTCTTGAAGCATCTGGCGTTGGAGAATGCAAGAATGGAAAAGATTTACTTTCACGTAATAAACTTACAATTAAAGTATTGCAGTAACTTTAACTCAAGTATTGTCTGAGTACCAGTCGAGCAGCTCAAAATCATTCTCTGATGTTCAATGGACCCTTCCCAGCTGTCAATCAACAGTATGTATTGACCAATCAGATCAAGACTTTTGATTGGGGGATCACGGTAGCTCAGTCAAACTCGACCAATAGTAGCTCGGTCGAACTCGGTCACAGGCACTGTGAGAAATTTACTCAACCCAAAGGTGGGTGGGGCTTATGGTCAAATCTTTTCCAAACTGTCAATCCACAGTATACATTGACCAATTAGAGCATGACTTTTGATCACATGACCAGGGTAGCTTGGTCAAACTTGACCAATAGTAGTCCAGTCGAAATCATTCATAGGCACTCTCAGAAATGTACACAAACCAATGTACACTGACCTGTAGTTTCTCCAGGTTGCGTGGGTCCTTGGTGCCGATTGCATCGTGGGATGCCAGCTTCTCCTCAATGTTGGCCAGCGAGCTCTGTGATTGGTTGACGTTCTCATGGAAGCTGCCCAATCGGTCGGTCAGGTCCTCTAGGACGCGCAGTTGGTTGTTGACGTCTAGGATGGGTAAATCATTTCAAAACATTTGTTCGCTTTATATCTATTTTTCAAGTTAACTGCAGTGCGTTAAAGTTGCTCTCACTTTTCGAGATTCACCTGGAAAATATAGTTTTGACTTTTAAAATGCGGCTTAGTGTGGCTTAGCAGTAAGGGTTTGTGACTCATGATCAGAGGATCAGGGGTTCGAATACAGTTGCTGGTCATATGTCGTGTCCTTGGGCAAGCCATTTCATCCCCACTTGCCTCTCTCCACCCAGCAGTATAATGGGTACCGGCATAAGCTGTGGAGTAACCTGCGATGGACTAGCAACCCATCCAGAGGGAAATATTCTCAGTCCTTTCATGCCCAGGAAACCGGAGATAAACACTGGCCTGATGAGCTATATTGGCTAGTGCAAGACTTTACTACTTCTCTTAGTGTGCAAAAGCAAACCAAAATGAAAGCCTTGTTTCAGAGGTTACAGCTGCCCAAAAAAGAACACAGTCAGCTTTTTTGGTTTAAAATCATACATCTATAAGTTGAAAATTCGTCAGAAGGAAAAATATGAATTTGTTCCAGAGCATGGGAGTGCAACTTCAACAGTAGTTTGGAAAAATTATATCAATTTAATGTTAATTTCGTTGTCAATTAAAGAACTGGTGTTGAAATCTTTGATCCATTTGCAGACAAATGGCTGTTTTTCAAGAGTTCATTTTCTGCTCACAACCCCATTCTCTACAAAACTGACCGAAGTGTATCCACGTTACCTCTTTGTAGTTTCTCCCATCGGCCGTTGACCTCTGACACTTGATCTTTGACGTAGGGGTGGTCCACGTCCGTCTTGTTGACCAGCTCGCTGCAGGTCTGGTTGACGGCCTTGTGGTGGTCCCGATGGTTCTCAATATCATCACGAAGTTGCTGTGAGGAAAAATAAATTAAATTATAGTTTCGTTTTAAATAAATATAATTATGCTGTTGTCTATATACGGAAATAGCTGCCTCAAAATTGAATCATAGGACACACCCCTTAGTATCTAAATTGTTTCTGTTTTCAGTCCCTACCAGATTCCGTGGGTTTTCCCCAGAAAACTCTGCTGGGCTTTTCCTCCCACCTCTAAAACTGTAATTTCTTCTCATTGTCTTCTTTCCACAGGTTTCTTCTGGCTTGCGAGCTTACAGTGCATAGGGCACTTTTGGGGAATCCTTGGTTTCATTACCAGAAATGATTAATAATAAGGACTTGAGGACTTATATCCCTGAGCTCAGCTTCAACTTTGACATTTTCTGAATTCCATTATCTACCATCATCAGAAAAAAAAACATCCAATTGCTCTCACCTTGACCACTTCATACTGGCGCTTGACCACGTTGGGCTTCATGGTGACTGGTCCCAGCGAGGCCAGCCGGTCCTCAGCGCTGCGCAGCCACGGCAGGAACTGGTTCAGCTCGTCCGTGTACTGCTTGGCCTTCCCGCTGCATTCACGCAGCCGCTCCTGCCGCTGCGTGGACTTGTCGTTGACGCCGGCCCACTTGGAGACCAGGGCATCCTGCTTGCGCTGCAGGGCCGACTTCTCCGGGCCCGGGGGCGCCTCGTCTATCAAGCCGTCCATCTTCTCGATCATGCGCTCGTAGGTGTAGACCTGCTTGACTATCTCCTTGGGGATTTCCTGTTCAAAAGAGAAATTGTCAATAGTTAAAACTGATTTTGGACAAAAAACGCCCTATAGAAAGCGGCAAGCAATGGACTAAAATGAGACAAGCTTTCCTAGTTGAACTGGAACCGAAAGATTCAGTTGAGGATATTATTTACAACCAGTGACTGGCCCTTTGGGTTCAGCAAAGTAAAAGTCAACTCTGTCTCATGCCAATATTATGGCCTTCCTGGGTGGAGTTATCTCCAGTTTCCTTAGTATGAAACAAAACCGTTATTTCATTCCCCATCCTCTACTAACAGGACAAACTGGAAGTAAGTCAAAAAGTCTTGACTCTTGAGGGCTATCCTCGCAAAATGCCAAATGATAACTGTCCTCACCTCGTGCTCGACGAGTTGCCGTCTGAGGACGTCGGGCTTGGCTGAGATGGGTTTGGAGGATGTCAGTTCCCTGTCCTTGGTGTCCAGCCATTGCAGCATGCTGGTGTAGGAGTCCTCGAAGTCCTTGGATTGGAGTAGGGCAGCCTGGAGCTTGCCTTGTCTCTCGTCTGGGGAAAAGAAGAAGAAATTGGAAAGTCTTGTGAGTGTTACTGGTTTAGATGCATTTTAGTCTATTTTAGAATAGTTTTTGGTCAGAATTTCAGAATTTCATTTCAGAATCAGGAACCAAATCCATAGCAACACTCAACGGTAAGCACTTTTTCCTGTTTACTACGAAGGATTTTAGAGTGAAGGAGTTTGGAAAATTTAGGAATACCAAGTGAGTTAGGGTCTGTGTGTCGTTATAGAGGTGGTGTGTGGGGATATCACACCCCCATCAAAATTGTTTGTTGGCAAAATTGTCGTCCTGTTGGCGAAATGCGTATATTGGTAAAAATGCCGCAACGAAGAGTGCCACCTATCGTTTGATAGTGTCTAAGATATTCTACTTTGAACAGTGCCTCGAATTTCAAATGATGTCCCCACCCCCTTTTGATTTTGCGGTCGCTGGCAGACCAGAAAAAAAATCCTGGCTACCTTCCAGCACTGAGAATCTGTCGGCAGTTTTTTTGTCACATCCACCATTCCTTGGCCAGGGTCCATACCGTCATGATAGTCCCTTTCCTTTCATCACGACACTTACCTAGTTTCCTGCAGAGTTCTGTGTATGGTGTCTTGACACTCTCCAGTTTGAGTGTGACCTCAGCCTTGGCCGTTGTCTCTGGGTTCAGTGTTGTCAATGCCCGGTGGACGTCCGTCATGGACTCCACAGCTGGCTTCTTCCTGTCCGCTTCCCTCTGTAACGTCTACAAATCGAGCAGAAAAAATGCACAGAAATGCATTATTGCAGCCTCATTCTACCAGTCATCCTTATGCAGTGTACTCAAACTTGAATGTGTTTTGTTATGGCTGAGTTTTATTGGCCGAGTTTATTTCCGTGCAGCATTTTCCCTTTGACTGCCTGTCAGCAGGCCTCAGCCAGCAATGACTTGGCTTGCTATATTTCGAGTTTTAGGCCCCTTGTCATGAGAAATTGTCGGATATTTTTTACATGGATAGAAGGCTGGATAGTGTGGCTCCATTCTTCAACAGTTTTTCGTTTCCAGTTGAGAAAGTTGGACTTACTCATATGTTTTTTTCTTTGTGGATGAAGCACTGAGCCTTCTTATCTCAGTCAGTAATTTTTGTTCAGTTTATTTAGTGAGGAATTCTAGAGAGAGGCAATATTTCTGGGCTGATCGGGGCCAGATGCCCAGTCCAGTTTTCTGCTTTAAGTGTGAAGCAATACCTAACCAACAAGATCGGTTGCGGTATAGAATTCATGTCACGAACTTACAAATAGGTTCAAGCTTATGCATTGATTGTACAGGATTTGAGTACTGAATAATAGTCAATGATTTTGCTTCATTTAGGAATTCTTCAGGAATAAAACAATGTACACTGTGAAAATGTGTAGTCCGTTAAGTTTGGATCTCAAAGAAACTTTTTTTCTAATCTTCTTCGTACCTTGGTCTCCTCCATTTGTTGCCTGACCACGTCAGGATTGCCGCTGATGGGCGCCAGCGCCGAGATCTTATTGCCGAACTCGATCAGCCAGTCCGAGTTGTCGGCCAGCGTGTCGTGGAACTTCTCGCTCTCCCGCAAGACGTCGTCCACCTGTCCCTCCCGGCCGTCCAGCCGCTTCTTGACCTCGTCCCAAAGGTGTTGGATCTCGCCAATCTGCTGTTGGACCGGGGAGCTCTGGCGGGTGCGGGGGTCCTGCTTCTCCAGGATGGCCTGGCCGGCCTCCTTGATGTGGTCCAGCTGGCCCTCGTGGGCTGCGAACTCATCTTGCAGGACCTGGGGAGGGATAAGATGGAGTTTTATGTTCTAGCACATTGTGGGGTCTCAAAAAGGGGACATTTCAGAAAATGAAAAAAATATGCGAACAAACTGTACGAATTGCATACAAATTGCCTCAAATTCAACAATTTTATCTTTATCATTAGTACAAATTTGGTTTTTAAAATGAATTGAGATTGGAGACAAGTACTTGCTTTCTGTCAATTTGGTCTTAATTTGTGCAATTTTGTATATTGATATATTTTCTTTTATATATATATAAAAGAAATGGGTGAAAAATTATGCGGAGGAGTTTGTTCATTTTTTTTAAATAGTTTTTTTTTAATTTGTCCTTTATTTCAGGCGTAAAATGCAAGTACTATGTACCTAAATATAGAGGATCTCCAAAAATTAGTTGCAAAGCAGTCTTAATTTCTTTTAATTATTTTACACAAATGACAATAAGAATCAAAATGTTAAACACAGCAGATATGTTATTACCTAAAAATGGCCATTCAGGGTGAGTTCGATTTATTGTATACAGAAGACATGCATAACAAAATCTGGTAACCAGCCAATATGTCATGGGATGAACACTGTCAATAACTGGTTCTCACAGTCCATAAATTTTCCGAGAACAATATCCGATATTAATCCTAGATTAAATACTCAAAGTCTAATATCGTTTTGACCTTAAACTGCCTGCTTCAAAATTCAAGACTTAAATATAAAAAGAGAGGCAAGATTAACGTTTATCTAGATCTAAATATAACACGCCTAATTAATATTTACAGAAGCGTTAAAAATTCACACAAGAGGTGTTTGTGTCAATAGATATTTTAAAGGTTATGTTGATTTAGTATTCCGTTTAGTGGATCATACAAGCACTTACACGCTGAATAAGCAGCTGTTTCTAGTCAGACTAAGATAGCTCGAGGCAATATTGAATACATTATCTAAGAGATATATTTTTTTGATATTCGTGTGCGAAGTCAAAGATGGAGTGCTGTGAGTGTTATCAATACTGATCTTGGTAATTTATTAGATTAAGTTGTCAAAAGATAGGCCCAAATTCCGCAGGCGAACAATCTTATGTCAATTAATCTTTTCATTAACTGAGTATTTGATAGGTATGCATACGTAACGTGTTTAAAGTAACAACTTTTTTTATCTTATCTGCACACAGATAGTCACCTAGTTTGTGATGGAAATGGAATCTAGTAATGGCCGGTTCACACTTCATGCAAATACGCATCAAATTTTACATCAGTGAGGTTTGAACCTGTGATCTCCGGATTGCCGTTCCGGCACTCTACCAAGAGGCCGTTAACCCATACATGGATATGCCATGTAGCCAGAGATCACGCCCAAAGTCATAATGCTAGCAATATTTACTGCAAACCTTGGAAATAGGGCATGTTATTGTTTAGCAAAAAGTCAGTTAATGCCTGGTTCTCCATACCTCCACTTGTTGTTTCTGGTTGCGCAGGATGCCCGGCTCGATGCCGATGGGTCCCAGCACGGCCGTCATCTTGTCCTTCTCCCCTAGCCATGTCTTGAGGCGGTTGTAGGCTTGCTCGAAGTCTGTCAGGCTGTTTATAGCGCCCTCTAGATCCTTGGTGCGCAGCTTGGCCTTGTCTTGGAGGCGGATCCATCGCTCCTCTGGTGGTTTGAAAAATTAAAGGAAAACATTCAAAATTTGTTGTTTTACAGTCTTTCCAGTCTTCAGTTGATTGTCGAAACATGTGCCAAGTTTAAAGTCAATCGGATTTATGAAAATGCCCAAAGCGGCTTGCAGAATGAAAACATGTACAAAGTCTATGTACAAGTGGGGAAAAAAATGAAGAAAGGAAGAACAAAAAATAATATTATGGAAAAAAGGGCTTTTTCGGGCAGTTACAGAAACGGCCAAAAAAACCTGTAAAACGAAAAGATAGGGGCTGACAATTCAACAGCTGATATACATAAGAAATGTAATTTTTTTCTGACTAGGCCTACGTTTCAACAATGCAGCAAATCTAAATAAACATATTACAAGTGAGTCGAAGCAAATTGTGTTGAAGTTCAACACAGCTGTCTTCTGGTGCCTGAAAGAAAAATGGGTTGTTAGAAAAGGTTTGGGAAATGGACGAGGCAAATCTAAATAATATGAAACAGCCAAGGATTGAGAAAGGATGGCCACACATATGGGAAAGAAATTTGGTTTCGAGTCGTCGGCTTATCCAGTCGAATCTACCTTCCTCAGCTGTACGTGAAAACCCACAAAACTTCTCTCCTTGGGGGACGAAATAACAACGGCATCCATGATTTGCAGCCCGAGTCGGGGGAAACAGACACAAGATGAGAATCGTAAGGATCAACGGAGCGACATAGAGCAGGAGCCAGTCCAGCATGGCGGACTATAAACGGAGACCAGTCCGGCCAAATAAACTCCAGAATGTGTACATGTATGTAGAGAAAGCAGTGTGGCTGCGCTAATAGATTTAGCATTGGAATCTGAATTGGTATCTGGTACTTCAAACAAGAGGGTCATCCGATGACATTGGTCTTGTATCTGAACTTTGACGTGATGAGGCAGTGTGAGTGTATGGTGTAGGACGGCTGAGAGTGAAATCTCTCAGCACCAGACTGGTTTCTGGCTGTCGTCTTCCAGATGGGATGCGAGGGGAAGACGGATGGCTTTGACGTGAATGGTATGATGGGAATGCACCTAAGGGGATGGGGACGTACATGAGAATGGTGGATGACACCAATGTGTTTTGGGGGTTCAACATTGTTCAACAACGGTTTGGTGCAACACACTTGAAGGGAAACTTTTTGAGTGTCATTCTACATCAGTGGATTAATTTAAAGCCATATGCGCCAAGATTTATGGTGACTGAAAAACTGAAGTGGAGATTTGTGCAGTCTCAAGTGATAATAAAATACGTGGGGAAGATGTTCTACTTGTTGGGTATGTATACATGCAGTAGTATGTAGTTACCAGAATTCAAATTACTAAAATCATTGTTTTTATGAATTTCACAAAAATGGCATACCAAATATGATTGCATCTTTATTTGATATATACAAAGTAGTAGTACATGATGATGGTAATAGTTTGGCCATTTCATTGTAGTTCCAGTTTATTAAGTGAAGGGAAAACTTCAGCAGAATTAAGGAGGATACAAGGGAAATATTACCATTCCCTCCTGAAACTAAAATTTGAAAAGTGTGAAAAAATGTTGGGAAATGTACAGCTTATGTATTTTTGGTATCAATTGACCAATAAAACATGTAGCTCAAAAGTGTAGAATCTGCACCTCATAATTAACAAAAAGAACTGCACACAAATGTCCAAGGGGTCAATGGACTTGGGTAGAACTGCAACCAATATGACTGAACATGGATAAATTACACCTCATGGGTGGAGCCCTTGGCACCAACTGTGTTTCAAAAGTGGCATTGTGAAACTAAACAAAGGCATTGCCACCTTGACCACAGAGGGTGCATGGATCTAATGACAACAATGAACCAGGTAGATTGGTAACACGATACGAAGCAGGAAGGTGGCAACCCTTCTTGCTCAGTCAGTGGTAGGAGACCCGAGACAGACGATCTCGGCCTGATCGTCTTACGTACTAAGGTTTAAATCAACAAGGATCCACCGTATGCAGAGCCGGGTTCGATTAAGGACTGCGCGAAATGTACCGAATATTTGATCGTATCTACCGAATATACGAATAGCATGTTACCAAATAGAATATTCTAAAAATATTAGCCGTCTCAAGAAGATGATAAAAAAAAGTTTTGTTTTTTTTAAATGAAGTTTACAAGAATTATATACCGAATAGGATTCCGTCTTTATTTGATTAACAAAATTTGTACTACATCACGGCTATAACTTGGCCATTTCATTGTACATGCATTTCCAGTTTTGCAATTGAAAGCTTAATTTAAGTAGAATTATTACCGTTCTCTCATAAGTATCACTGAAATTTGAAGTTTGGATGAAAAAGTTGGGAAATGTACACTAAAGTATTTTTGGTATCGACAGACCAATAAAACTATAGCAAGTAGTTCAGAAGAGTGCACTCTGCTCTGCATTGTGGGTAAGTTCACAACAAAAGACCTTTTGCGTAGCAGCCATCTTAGAGGGCAATGCCTTAGCTTTGCTGGGATATGCATGAGGGAACCTTTTGCGCATTCATTGTTACTAAATTAAAGGGGGGGGGGGAAATACATGGATTTATTCTCCCCACTATAGTTTGCTTGTTTAACTTGGCAAACAGAGCTGCGGAAACAGTTAATTAAACAAAAAAGAGACGTTGTCCATGGTGCACAGTGTGTGCCATTGGTTGCTATGATCACAAAGCTGTCTTTTCACACAGGAAATCCCCTTCCACAGAAGTAAGGATTAATAGGCCATTGGAAGAAGGATATTATCCAGCTAATCTCCAAAGCAAACAGATTACAAGATTAGGGCTATTAATAATGTGTAAACACTGCATTAGAGCTGGATTACTTGCATGCCTGTGATGTGCGTAATGGGATCAAGTATTTAGCTGGTGTTATTCTTATCTTGTTAAACCAACATAACTGTTGAAGTGGGAGCTCAATACTCCCACTCTTACTGGCCACTGTACTTTCTCTTTTTTAAAAACCTGAACAAAGAAATTGACTGGAACGGGGTTTGAACCGTGACATCCAGATTGCCAACTGAGCTACAAGTATCAAGCCCTATGTTGGTGTGTTTTTTTTCTGTTTCCAAAATGTGACTCCTTAACATTTTGTTACCAGTTTTAGGAAAACTTTCATGTTATTTTCTTCACTCGTAACATTTTAACATTCTAAAATTATTCTCACTTTTTGAATGACAAAAGTTTTAATCAAGTAGGATTTGAACCTTTGACCGCCACAATACTGTTCTGGTGCTCCACCAACTGAGCTATCATCAATTTTATTTTGTTCGGGGTTGGTAGTCAAAACACAAAAATGATGATCACTTTTTGGAAGAACACATTGAAATAAGCTGAAATTTGAACCTGCAACCTTCAGGGGACAGGAACAGCTGAACTAGCCAGCTCTAAATTAAAGCATTTCCAATTTGTCAATGTCGTTATTCAGGGGTACTAGTCAAAAGCCCCAAAATGTATACTGATCATATTTATGTACAAATTCTGAATGAATAATTATTTTTTGTCAGCGATATTTATAAGCGCCTGTCTATTTAAGTGGGTATTATGATTGTCATACACATGTGTGTTATTTTCAATTGCGTGGTATAACGATGTACACGCACCATACAACCAGATGGTGGGGACGTGTGTCACGAGAGCCCTTCATCAAAATTTGGACATCTACTTCAAGTCCTTTGCTGTGTCAGGTAATCCTGGATGAACATTTCAAATGACAATTCTTGATCAACAATCACGAGGTAATAGACTCTTTGCATTTGAGCCATGTTTGTGTTTGTTCCATGGGCTCTGTGCGCCAACAAAAGAGGGCGCCCTTTTACCTAGCAATGACGTCCCATGGGCGGGACACTTATTTCGCTGGTTGACGCGCGTGCACCGTTCCTTGTGTGTGACGCACGTGCACCAGGGGATTTGTACTATGTACACGCAGTGGCCACGCTTAGCGACAAACTATTGCAGTCAGGCAAGATGGCGTCCTTCGGTCACCCCAACTGGACTTTCTTTGCCGGTGAGGGGGTACTTGCATGAGTAGACCTCTTGTGCACTCACTGTTACTAAATTCAATCAACAATACTTCAACACCTAAAAAAAATGGCTACTTAGATTTTGTGTCTTGTGCTTTTAAACCCCCAACAAAAGTTCAGATTTTCAGAAATTTTAAAACTAACAACTTTAAAAACAGACGGAGTAATGATATTCAATCGTTACATATCATGCTGGTAATCGTGGGGATTAGATGCAGACCAAAGCCACGATGAAATCGACCATGTGAAATCTAGTCGCAGCCGACATTACAATTAAATTACAAGACCGCCAGTAAATCTACAGTAGAACTCGGGCGAATTGTAAAAACATGTGTTCTGCAACCGGCCAGCCATGAAAACATCAATTGCGAATTCAAATGGGAAAATACATGTAACCCTAACTCCCTTGGTGTAAATTTAACCGTGTTTTGCTTCAGTTCACCTTCAATCTGTCTGAATCAAACAATATGCAGTCACTTGAGACACGTTGAAAATGACATTTTTTTTTACATTTTGTAAAAATTGCGCCAGCAGCCCATGTAAAGTAATACTATGGTAAGTGATATAGACAGGGCTGTACAGTACTGTAATGAATCCTTGAAAATGCATCGAAATTCCGGTGCGGATTTCAGAGGATTTAAGGAAGTAATCTTTCATGTTGCCACATTTTTCATTTACATGTATGACCATACATATACATTAACACTGCCTGTGTCTTGTTCTCAAGCTGATATTTGCTAAGGAAATCAATTGATTTTCTGCAAATACCAGCATTATTGGACCCAGATGTTTGAACAAACTGCCTAACCTATCCTCATATGGTCTTATACAGCTCACATGACTAATTATTTTTGTGCCGTGGGGTACACGCATTGAAATGTACCAAACATGTAAAGTAACTGTCCACTCTGCATTTGCTGGGTTGTTTTTACATGTAGGTTTTGATGCACGGTCTGGCAAG